GAAAATAAAATACTGAAATTTAAAGTGGTGATCCCCAAATCTGACTTTGCTTTGTTGAAGTTGATTGAAGATGCCTTTTCTGACGGATTTGAATCCTTTAAATAGCCTTTCAGAGAAAACGGTTTGAACCGCCGTCTGGTCGGTTACAGCAACCGCTGTCAACCGACCACCAATTTCTCCTCTATTGACACGTATTACAACTTCCTTCAACCGTTCCCACCAGTCACAGAACTCAGACCTGCCTCTTACCCGACCTGCCTGTCCACTGCCAAATTTCTTTTGCCCGACTTCGTCCTTCGCCCGACCTGCTTCTTCGCCCGACCTCACTTGGGCCGACCTCCGCATCAGCCGCCCTCCGTCTTTGACCGAAGACCTCCGCGTCTGTCCGTACCTCTTCCTTGCCCGACCTTCCTCTTGACAGACCTCCGCGTCTGCCCGACTTCGCCTTCCATCCGATCTACGGTTTACCCGACTTGGGTACACCTTTTTTTTTAGACTCCGCCCGACCTGAATACAGCCCGAACTGCTGATCACGGACAACCATCTCTTGGTAGTACCTGAGTCTGGATTTGGATCAATTCTTGAGATCTTACCTTTCTTCCTTTTCCCGACCTTTATTCTGCCCGACCTCCAGACCTTTTGGCTTTCATTCAGACCCTACCCAGAATCCTACTGCCACTTACTATTATTATTATTTTTTGTGCTTAACAATATTATTGAAACATATTTAGTGAATCAGTGCCCAATATTTTTAAATTACAATTATACAATTTTCATCAATAGAGGAAAATGTTGGTTCGAAAAGTTTGGAGAAAAAACTTAAAAAATAAAAAATCCTAAGAAATGAAGTAGGTATATTTCATGATTTCCTAACAAATAATTTAAATAAAAAAACTGTAACTTTATTAAAAATATAAACTTACAAAATTTTTGCAACTTCCATTGATATAAAGTAAAATGAAGTGTAAAAATATTACTCCCCCATCAAAATTTGTTCAATTGCTTTGTACATAAATTATAGTAAAAAGTCAAACTTACATTTTTCTGGTGTATCTTTTTTTACCTTTTTATAGTAAAAAAAATAAAAAAAATAGTTAAAAGGGTAAAAACTGTATGATTTTTTTTGCTAAAAAAAGAAACAAATATATTTTTCTATGATTAGACAAAAAAAAAAGTTTGACGTAGAGAGTATTATGTGATTTGTTATAAAAATGTTATCATTTTAAAAAAATCACAAAATTGTAGCGGCTTCTATTGTTATATAAAATCATTATCATATAAACTATTTGATAGAAATGTCATAATTTTATAAAAAGTTATTCGCAAAATTTCATGGATGTAATTTCATATATTTTTATGTGACTTTTGAATAAAAAATTAATTTATTTTGCTGATAGTGTATAAAAAAAAATAATATATATATACACACAAAATATTATTCATTTTCATTGAAATACCTCTCTAAATATTTGAACGCAAAATTGAATGACAGAAGAAGTATAAAACTATCTAAAAAGTTATAATGATTGATATTCAGTGATTTGTCGATTCGATTAAATTTTGTCGATAAAAACAAAATAGTATATAAGATTTATGGAAGTGATAGAGTGAGAAACAAGTATGAAGGCATTAGATTGTTTGATTCCTACAAATTGGCAGCCAGCAAAGACCAACAACACAAGACAAGAATCACTCACTCTTACATATATTCCTACATTTTGCATTTGTTCTTTGGAATTCTTTTCATCAACCCTTCTTTTTAATATCTACTTTATACACAATTATCCTCTCTCAATATGCATCATTATTTTTTAGGGAAAGTTTTGGATGAGAATTTTTATTTTACGAGGATATAGAATCGTTATACACAAAAATTTTCATTATTATTACATGATCGTCTATACATGACCGATAACAATTGTCAGTAGGTTTTTTTTTTTTTTTTTTTTGTTACTGATAGTTTAAACTTTCAGTCATGTTCTAAGGGAATAAAATCTTGCTACAAGATTAAACTTATAGATGTGTGACGTTAAATTACAGATAATTTTGGATAAAATTTTTGTAAGAATAATGAACTGGCATACGCATAACTTTCCATTACTACATAGTCGGTAACATATGATTGTGACAATAACATTGTCAGCATGTTTTTATTGTTATAAGTTACTATTTTACTGGAATAAAGTTATGATGCAAATTTAAAATAACGAATATTTTAGATCTGAAATGGATATAAATATTTATATATGATATTCGAATTGAAATCTTTAATATAAAGATTGACCCTATAAACTACAATTCATCGTAATATACATTTAAAAGTCTAAATTCTAAAATCTAAAGTTTTTATCTAAAATTTAAATTTTCAAAATATTTGTAAGTTGATTAATACATATATAGTTATTGTGTAAACACATTCATAATATTAAAATAAAAAAAAACTATAAATTTAGTTCCAGGATTCTAGAATGAAGAATTAATTGAAAAAAAATATAAATAAAATGAATGTCTTTCCAAATCAAGTGCAAAAGCAAAAGAACATTGTAGTATGAGTGCTATTTGTGGAACAACATTTGTGTACCAAGAAAAAATTAATAAAATAAATGAAAATGAAAATGAAAATAAAAATAAAGCATAATGGTTTTGAGTTGTAATAATTAGATGCTCTATTTTAATTTTAATTTAATTTTATTTATTTTTTTGTGATGGGACTTAAAAGAGGATAAGATGATTCTATTTGTGAATACTATTTATGTTTCCCTTATTTTGGTATATTTTTAGTGTAAATGGCATAAAACCCTATTGTGAAATTTAAAAGTTGATAGAGATACTTATTATTTTATTTTTATTTTAAAAAAGATTAATTGTACGGAACTTTAAATTATTATATGCTTATATATTATACATATTCTCTTGTTACTAATTTTTTTTTTTTTTTAAATATCTAAAATGACATTCAGTTATTTTAAATTTATAGTTTCATTATTTGATTTTTTTTTTTTTAAATACACTTTTATTAACTATTAAGTTTTTGTCAACACTGTTTATTTTCTTTTTTCTACTTTACTAGTTGTTTATATTTTTATCTTAATTTTAATATATTATAATATTATAAAAAATAAAATACTATTTTCAAACTAATTTTTAATTATTAGCAATATATTGAAATTTTAAGATAAAAATATGTTTTTGTCGTTACGTTACTACAAATAGATTATTTTACGACAAACTTAAAATTCTTTTGGTTATTGATCCATAAATGTTACTACTTTTTTTTTGTGTGTGTGTGTGTGTGTTACCTTAGAGTATTATGCATTTTATTATTTATTTATTTAACTAAAGAGCCATCTTAAATAATTCTTATTTAAACAAATTATATGTGATTTTGAATTGAATAGTTTCTTAGCATCTTGTTGCTTTTAAAAGATACAAATTTTTACATTTGTTAGATTGTTGTTTTCCATTGTTAAGTTCAATATTCAATAAATAATGGATTAAAAATTAATTTCTCATCAAAGTTGTAAATAATAAAACATAAAGTTGCACATATCATTGATCATTACAATTCTCATTGTAAAAAAAAAAAAAAAAAAAAGTGATTTAAATTGCTATAAAAAGTATGACAAATTTTATAAGACATGGAAATTTGTCTCCCTAAAAAATCACCAAAAAAATTGAAATAATATTAATGGGCACACAAGCACAAAAGCATTCCACGTAAACCTCTAATTTGGCCATTTTACCATTTCTTCAATGTCCTATTGTTTGTACTATCAGTAAATTTAACATATTTTATAAAAATGTTTGATGTCTTTTTTATATGATTCAATAAAATTTCCTATAATTTAATATATAAGTAAGTTTTTTTCAATGGTCTATACATCCACAGTATATATATTTTTAAAATATATGATACGAATATATTATTAAATCGATTAATTATATTAAGAATATTCATTATTATTATATAATATAGTGAATATACACGTAAAATAACCTATGCATTTGCTATTTCTCTATAAACAGTTTTCCGATTGAGCCATTTTTTAAAGACAGGCCCATAATTCATATGATCTATTGGGCCTTATGGCCCAGTATCAATGGTAGTTTATTTTTTCAAATTGTCTAATAAACACGACTATTTTTATTAAATAAAACACGAAAAAATAGTCAAATTATTTTTTATTTATTACTATTAATTTTCTATGTACGGACACCTTAATAATTAATATTTATAGTTAATTAATTATGTGATAATAAATAAATTTAAGGGAAAAAATTAAGTTTGGTCCAAATATAATTAAAATTAATTAATTTTGGTCCCAATATAAAAAATTCATCAATTTTAGTCCCAATATAAATAATTTCAATCAATGTTGGTCTCATTATAAACAATTTTTATCAATTTTGGTCCCACCGTTAAACAACTAACGGAAATTGCTGACGTGGACATGACGGAGGTGACGTGGCAGTTGACCTGGAAAGTACAAGGTCCCAATTTTATCAATGTTGTTACACGGGACACTGTACTTTCCAGGTCAACTGCCACGTCACCTCCGTCGTGTCAACATCAGCAATTTCCGTTAGTTGTTTAACGGTGGGACCAAAATTGATAAAAATGGTTTATAATGAGACCAAAATTGATTGAAATTATTTATATTGGGACCAAAATTGATAAATTTTGGTTATATTGGGACCAAAATTGATGAATTTTTTATATTTGGATCAAAATTGATTAATTTTGATTATATTGGAACCAAAATTAATTTTTTCCATAAATTTAATTTAAAAAATATTACTATATTTATTATTTTTATACTCTCTTTTTTACATGAATTGAACCTTAATTAGGGACGTGTTAAGTTAAAAATATTTAATTAATTAATAATAATTAATTATAATATTATCATATTATTTTTTTATAATTAATAATATTTATAGTTTTAATAATAAAATTATAAATATATTAAAATATTAATTAATAATTTCTGAACCCTACCTCTGCGAAGTGCGAAGCCTTCGATTTTTAGGGAATTCCGTACAAGCATGAGAGGGCAAGGAGGCCTCTACGGAGGAGATTCCGGCGGCGGCCGCCGTGCATACGGTGGTGGTCGCGGCGCCGCACAGCAGCACCATCAGAGTAACAAGTCTGGCTATTACCAGGGGCGCCACCAAGATCAGCAGCCGATCGGCGAGAAGGATGGAGGTCTGCAGAATAATCAATGGCGGTGGGAAGGCGATGACGCGCAGATGAAATTGCCTCTGGCTGCTACATTTTCTGATGGTAACTTCTATTTTTTGTTTTTTCGATTGATTGCCCTACTTTCCAGCTCTTCGGCGTTGATCGTGTATTCCTTGCAGTGAATTTTGTTAGCGTGTAGGTGAAGTGGAATATATTGACAATTGATTCTGAGACTATTACAAAATACATTTATTGGTGATGAACAAAAATCTTAGCGCAATCATTGTTTGTGATTGTGAATGTGTTTCGATAATTCCATCAACTTCTGGAACTTATGCCTTGTTTGTTTCTTTCAGCTGAGATGATTTTCTTTTGTACATTTTACAATTTTGGCTGCATCAACAACTAATAATTTCTTACTTGTTTAGATTTAATTGTCTATCCTTCTAGTGTTCTTTTGTAAAGCCATTTTTAGAGGCTAGCTACGAGCAATGTCCGTAAACTTGTAATGAAATTTTGTGCAAAATTATATGCATAAATTGTAATTACCATTTGTAAAAACAAATCTTATGTAATAAATCATAAATTTAATTCGATTCAGCTTAAATTTTAATATAGATAAGTAAAATGGTGCCCAATGGATTCACTACATGTGTTGTCGACATAGCTGGCGTGCTCAAAATAAAAATGTACAAGATGGCATTTGTTTGCTCACTAGCCCTGAAATTTCTATGTAATTTGTCTCTTTGATGAACATAGCTTTTGGGGCCAAGCAAGTTATATGGCTGAGCTAGATCTTAAATGGTGAACTTCTTGAGTTAATAGATGATGTAGTATACGGTGGGTTTATGTTAAGTTAAGGCTTGAGCTCCTATTAAGCTCAGCCTTAGTAGAAGTGTGTGATATAATGATAATCTACTTACGATTGGCCTATGCATTTTTTCTTGATGTGGAAGGTTGGATAAGATATAGAATACTACCTACTGACACAGACACTCTAACCGGTGGCCTTTTGCTAAAAATTACTACTCTTTTTGTTTAGTGTAAGAAATGACAGTTGTAATATATAACGGGATTTCTGTAATATGAGGCAGTGGGCCCTTTTGTAATCAATTTTATTAGTCAGAATCTGCAAAACTAGTGTAAAGTTTGGTTTATTGAATTAGGATGCTAAATTACGAATATTTGACCCAATGATCATTGCACGTGCTTAGGATCAGTTGTCCTTCTCGTTAATGTTCTTCATCCTTGGAAACGTGAAAAGTGGAAATATAATCAACTCTAATGTGGATTGTTGCCTAAACAAACATGGAAATAATAAATGCGTGAAATTGATTTTCATAGGTCTGTTTGGGAATCTATCTAGCTCTTGCATTGAGATTTGTTATCTATCAGAAAATGAATGAATTATCAAGATTGGAAAGGTTCGGTGGTTGGAATGAGTTTATTTCTTTGATAACTTTCCTTCGTGGGTTCAATATTATTGTGTTTGTTTGGATGGATGATGCATACGAATTTAAGACAAATGGCACTTGCTTAACTGGTTATTATTGATAGTCGTTTTTATGGTTGACTCATTTAATTTTAGACCTCAAACAAAAGATTCTTGTTTGATTTTCTTTATCTACCGCAACTGTTTAGTTGATGCTTTCAAGTGTTTGACAGGGACTGGTCGCAATTTTACTTTCACCCGCCATATTGTAGAACCCGGTACAACTTTACGTCTGGAAATTCAAACTGAATCTATAAATTTTTTGTGAAGTGAAGATTTAGATTTGTCGTCCGGAGCCTGGTGGGATGAGAATGTTATTAGATAGTAACTTCACCAACTCATTGAACACCGAAAAGGAGAAACCTAATATCTTCACATTCAAATTAGAAGCGAAAGAAAAATCGGAAGTAACATACAATAATATTTAATTCTTCATTCCCTTCATTTGTGTTTATAGGTCAATTGTGTGAAATGCCGGGATCCTATTACCAAGGCCAGAGGCTGGATCCAATGGTGCCGTTGGAGAGACAAGGTGGCGGAGAGACAGGATCACAGGCGCATGAAGAGGATATGGAGATAGGATATGAAGACCCCCGAGTTGTGCAGACATATGAATCTCTTGAACAGAGATTCCTCGATGACCTCACAAAACTGAGCAAGGAGCATGCCGATTCTGAGGATGCCGAAAATGCTAGACACAGAGAGGTCCGATTTCTTTAACTCTTTTATTTCGCACTGTTTTGGTATTTGCTAAAGTGACACTATGTGGCGTAAATTTTCAATAACGTTGTCTACTGCTACTTAGTGGTGACAAAAAAAGAATCGGGAAAGGTGGCTTTGATATCTTGAACTTTTCCATTTCAATTTTCTTTAGGTTTTTCGATTTCTTTAGTATGTTATACGTATATATACCGTTAGCGAATGAATGATACACTGTCAATCTGTCATACATAAAAATTCGATCTTTTTCCATTCTATGATGCTCTGACATCTTTCTGATCTCACAAATCCATGTCTCACCATTTCGATGCAGAGATTGAATGCGATCAGTGCACAGTATGGGGAGCAGTTCGCGATGATCCGAGCCCAGCATGCTGCGCAGCGGGAAGAATTTCTCCGAAGAGAATCTCTAGCAAGGCAGCAGCAGTACCAGCAGATGGTGATGCAAAATTACCAAACTACCCCTAGCGATCCCCGCGCTTTCGATGCAGCGGAGCCACACCGAGCATTCAACTCTGATTCCTACAGCGCAAGAGGTCAGTTCCCCGCTAATGCTCGAGATCAACCGTATGAACCCAAAATTCCGTACCCGAATGCTCGAGATCAGCCCTACGAACCCAAAGCTCCGTACCTGAACGCTGGAGATCAACCGTACGAGCCCAAAGCTCCGTATCCGAATGCTTGGGATAATGCATACATACCCAAAGTTCCGTATCCGAAGGGACGGGCGTATAACAACCCTCGCTATTACTAGCTCGGCTCGGCTCGAATCGAATCGGGTAATGTAGTTTATTTTTTATTCCGAGCAATATTTTCTCACATCACATATGCTTTAGGTACAATGGCTACATGATTAATTACCTTAAATCATCGAATATATACAGAGAGATTTGTTCTTCATTCTTACATTAGATTCGAGTGGATGAATTATACAAATTAGTTGTCGTTGTTGTAAGAATGCCCCGTTGTTCCGGTAGGATTTCGTGTATATTATGGGTTAAGCTCAAGTGAATTATATAATCAATTTTATATATTATGGATTTTATTTTATTTCATTTTTGGTATTTTTAATTCCAGCTTTTCTTTTTGGGTACTATTTAGTTTATGATATAGTATTTTATAAGAATCGTATTTTTTATTATATTAAATATTATATACATTAATTGCTTTATGTATAGAAAAAGAATATGTTTTGTGTGTTATTATAGTGTGTATATTACTATATTTAATATTTTTTATATTTCACTGGGCTTGCTTTATATGTTGAAGTGTATATTTATTTTTATTTTTTCAATTAGGATAGTAAATTCACTTTGGATTAATTAGGATTTTAGATTCGAATTGCATAAATAAATCATTTCGCAATTTTACATTCCGCTCGTTATTTTTCTATCAAATGCAAAATTACAACGTGCACACTATGTTTGAAATGAAAAAATTCGTTCCAACACTTTTATAAAATACAAACATTTTAAAATGCAATTGTATTTATTTTTATTTTTTTTGGGATATTTTAAAATACGAGTTATTATTATATATAGTTATACTTTTAAAATAATGAATTGAAATAGTAACTCTTGCTTTTGTTAAGCTTTATGGAGAGAGACACAAGAGGAAGGCAATGGCAGAATTTGTCGGAGCAATTTTACTGAGGTCCGGGATCTGAAGTCCGATTGGATCCACACCGTTGATTATAAGCTGCTGATGACACTGAATTCCAACAACCCCAACTACATGACATGACATTACAGATTCTATACTTTATACACACAAAAAATAATTATAATTATTAAAAAAATATATCTAACAAAAAATACCATAATTGATAATCCACTTTTTTCTCATGCAGATTTTCCTGCTGCCAGCTTTGTTTTTTTGTTTGTTTTAATCATTATTTTTTTATTCCACAGCTAATTATTATTATTATTATTATTATTATAAAAAAAATCGTCCACTTTATATAATACTTTGTCCTTCTCACTTTTATATATCATTTGAGTTTTTTCTAATGAATTTAAAATATGTAAAATAATTTTAATATTTTTATTCCTTATACTATAAATTAATTTATGTATAATAGTAGTAGTTTAATTACATAGAAGTTATTATTATTATTTTTTTTTATGTGAACGTACAATTATTTTTATTACATTACAAAGAGTACTTTTAAATATAACAAATAAAGTAATTATTAATTTATTATTACCAGATTATTTAATAAATATTATATTTTAATGGTAGTAAAAAATTTGTTTTATTTGTACAAATTGGTATATTGATTTAATTTTTGTAATTTAGTTTAATGATATATAAATTTATGAATATTTAAAATATAAAATGAATTTGTTCATTTTGTATTTTTATAATTATAAAAAATACAATAAATAAATACTCTAAATATAATACATGTAATATATGCATTTTAGAATTTTTCATATCTAATATAAAAATGCATCAATTCAAAAATTCACTTAAGAACAAAAATATTTGTATTTATATATTTATACTTAATTAATGGACCAAACTGAGAGAGTAAAATATAAAATTTATTAGACCAAATTTACATATATATATATATAAAAGATATTTTTATATTAGATACATATATAATTGAAGATATTGCAATGTTCTCTTTTGACTAAAGTAGGATTTCATAAAAGCTTCAAACTTTTCAGCCTTCGACACAGACACTAACTATTGAACACACACACACACATATATATATATATATATATACACACACGCGAGGGATCAACCTAAGGGTGCCTTTGTTTGTTCGTTTTTGTTTTTAATTATTTAATTTGTAATAATTATACTTTAACTACATTTTTCTCAAAAAAGAAAAAAATAAATAAAAATAGATACAATTATACAAATGAATTTTACTAGCTACAACTTTAGTTAAATGGATCAACAGAGACGAACTTATTAAATTTAGATTTGAAAATACACAAAGTATATATTATTTGAGATAAATAATATTATATATATATATATAATATCTGATATATATGTATGTGTGCATATATATATATATAAGTTCATCGCTTGACATTGACTCATCAGCACTTGAACTGTAGCCATCAACCCCCCACCCCGCCTATATATAAATGCATTTATACATATCCCTTGAATACAGGGCAATGCTTTCATTTCTCACTAACATACACAAAAATATGTATATATATATATCTATAGGTAAAATGGTATAATTAGGGTGTGTTATTTTTGTATTTTTAAAGGTTTTGATTTTATTTTTTATTTTTATTATTTGTTAAGTGAAATAATAGTTGAACTTAATATTTTGTATATATAAAAGAATATATTTATATATATATATATTAAGAATGATGAAATTGTATTGTAAAAAACTTTTAAATACTAAAAAGTTTAAACTAACCGTTTATTGTATTGTTTAATTATTAATTTTATGTTATATTTTAATAATAGTTGATGTTACTTACGGTATAGATGGAGTGATTATTTCAAATAAGTTTGATTTGATGGAGTTAATTTTAAATACTTGTAAGATTTTGATTTCAGTTTTACTGTTTTATTTATTTTTTAAAAAATATCAAATCAAACATCTAAATTTTTATTTATTATATTATTTTAAAATTTAATTTTATATTCAAAACATCGTATTATTACATATTTACATCATATTAAATAACAATTATAATTTAAATTTTTTCCATTCAAAATCGAAACCCCTATAAATAAACACACTTGAGAATTTCACGAATATTTTGAATTCAATGCATATACCTCAAATATTTTATGAAAATGGTACTCTTGGTATCATTCCAATCTTGAACTTTATATCACAATAAAATAAATTTTCTTTAAGAAATATTTTTTAATTAAACAAATAAATTTTGTTTCCTTTATCAGATCTTTTATTATCATGGTATTGGTTAAGATTTTTGAGATTATTATATGGAGGAAGAATGTTAAAACTAATTAGTTTCAAGTTGAAGCATCAAATCCCTTATTAACATTATGAAACCATTTTTATTTATTTATTTTTTTTTGAATTTTTTTTTTCTTGAAGAGATAGCTATAGAAAGTTTATTAAACAATTCATAAAATTTCCATGCAATAGTTTTCTAATGCATAGACAAAATTTTGCACTTGTAAAAGATGAGGGTTCAAAAGTGTGTCTAAGATGATATATATATATATATTTTGTTTTTTGTTTTTGCAATGTCTAAATTAAAACTTAATGATCAAATTCATAAGTTAACCAATTTTTTTTTTTCGAAAATATTCAGTCACATTCTTATTGCTACTATGTTTTTAAATCAGACGACACACAAAATCAAGATCAAATTATATAAATAATGACAAAAGAATAATTGAACATACAACTTAAAGCAAACAAATATTTCTAAATTTCTTGTAAGATAAAATTAGTGAACACAATGAATAAATCCATAACCACACATAAATACTTGTGTATATATATATATATATATATATGATCTCGTTTTGTAAGCACAAATATCTAAAATTCTCTATTACATACCAAATTTAAATTCATATTTTAGGAAAAAAGAAGATACCAAAAAAATGAATTGCATATTTTCAAACCCTAGAATTGAACATACATACATATACATAATATTTAGTATCTAATCCCTCATTCTATATATATATATATATATATATATATATATTCTTTTTTAGTTTGTTCTTGGAGGGTTTGGACAATTGCAATTTCATTTTCTTTTTATTGATTTTATTTATTTAATTTATATATATTTATCTTAGGGAATAGCAAGAGATTTTTTCTGTGTGGCTTGAGCTGATGCAGCCGCATGTGGACGGTCCAGATTTGCTTGTTTGTTGCTCTCCACTTTTAATCCAAAATGAATGTGTGGAAAATGTGCCCACTGCATAAAATACCAATTACTAATCAAATACAAATATATGTACAAATATTATCACTTTTCTCAAATTTTATTATGTAAGTTTCAATTATTTAAAATTTAGGTCCAACTATATCCTACACACAAAACAAAATTTACGAATTCCCCTAAAAGTTGAATAGTCACAAAAAATAGCCAAAATGCAATGTTTTTTTGAACAATCATATGCATAATAAATATATAGGTAACTTACCATTAAAATAGTCATATGTAACGAATTTAAACATGAATAATTATTTTGTATATAAATTATAACCAAATTACTATTTGTATATATTTCGGGGTTTTCCTAAGGGACATGAAGAAAATCTAACAGCTAAGTTCATTTCTATTACTTGTTGTAAATTAAGGATCACCTACAAAATACGCAACTGGGAACTGTAAGAATTGGACAAGGAATTAAGATTATTCTAAATTATATTCTCCTTCCATGAATACACACATATTTTATCATCAATTTTGTTTAATGGCCCAATTTTAATTTCATAAGTTACAATAGTTCGCCCTTTTGTCTTGTAATGTAATTCATACATCATTATGTGATTATAAGACAAAATCGTAAACTATTGCAATTTACAGAATTAAAACACGATTATTCAAAATAATAATAAAAAAAATTAATAACCATCGCAAGACTTACATTCTTTGCAGCAGTGCTGAAAGCTTCCCTGTGACTAATTTCAGGATTGCTTGCTTTGATCCTTTGAATTTCCTCCCTGTAATGAATTGAATTCATAATTAATTAACTAAATATATGTATATATATATATATATATATATATAGTGTATTCTATTCATCTTTAATTCATTTGAACAACATACACAAGTTGTACATGAAATAAAACCTTACATTCATTCAAATTCAATGCATGTTAAAATTTTATCGCGATCTTGTATCATCTATTCAATTCCGGCGAAGAAAAGCAACAATAAATAAAACTTATTACAAGGTAGTAAAAAAAAAAAATACTTACTTAATGAAACGATTATACGCTGAAGGAACGCGTTGTCTCTTCTCCGGGGCTGTTAATATATTGTAAGAAAAGATAAGTCCCAAGTAAATAGATAAATAAAATTTAATTCAAAACTAAATTGAAACTAACCATAGAATGCCTCATGTAAAAGAAGACATTATTACCACATTCATAAATTACAAATATGATAAAAATGCCAAAAAAAAAACAAATTATATATATAAATCCTTATAATTAAGAGAGGAAAAGTCATATGATTAATTATATCTATAAAAACATGTCTTAACATACATGTATGAAATATTATGCACTATGCTTGTTAAAATAGTATATATATTTGTACAATATCAATTTTGTACATAAATTTGTTAATACATAAGTAAATAATGGAATAAAATTTACATGATAAATTTCTCATACGTATATTGCATCTAAAAATATTTCAATTAGACTCAAAGTACACATACAATTTTACGCAAACTATTAGGTTCAACTAAAGATTTATACATATCGCACCTATAAGAAGCTACTGCGGATTTTAACATTATATAAAAAAAAAATAATTAATTTTATGGGCTTTATTCTCTTTTATTTTATTAGATTTTTAATGTGCAATTCTTAAGATCTTTTACAAAGATATACTATTATTTAATCACACAAAAGACAACATCTAACTATTCAATAAAACATAAAAACAAATATAGAAACCAAACACACTCATAATCCACTTTTATATTATGCATTGATTTGGCCGATGTATGGTGAATCATATAATAATTTTTACACAAAATTTAGTCTTTTATTTTTATTTTTTTAAAAAAACTGTTAATGTAAAAATGTAATGTAGCCGTATCCCATGAATGACATGTAAGAAAGAATAAAAGCAGAATGATTTAAAACACAGGGGGTGGTGGGGATGCCTTATACACAAACCATACAGAAGTGCTAAATATATATATATATATATATAGAGAGAGAGAGAGAGAGAGAGAGAGAGAGAGAGAGAGAGAGAGAGAGAGAGTGTGTGTGTGTGTGTGTGCATGCATGCAGTGTTTGCAGATGAGATGATGAATTTTATTAATATGTTTGTATTGTCACAATCATTACAGGTCACATATACATACATATATATATATATATTGCTTTTACACAGTGTGTCTTCTAAAAGATGATAAGGTGTAAGCAATGTACCATACAGCACCATTGCGAAAAATATATATACACATTTTACATTAATTATGAGTACTTTGAGATTTTTTTTTTTTTGTTTTTTTTTTTCAAATTTGTATTATATAAGTAATCGTCATAATTTTATTAAAAATATATATTGCTTTTTTATTACAAAATAGGCTTATATTCAATATACTATTAAAAAATCACCAAATAAAGACCTTGACTAGTTACCTATATGTGATTATTTATTACTCTTTTATATATATCGTATATTTTTAAATTTGTGTTTTCCATTCATGTAACATGAAGATATATACTATATATATATATATTTTTTTTTTTTCTCTTTATTCATTTGGAGGATACAAAAATAATAGGACAATTTGAAATGGTGAATTTCATTATTTGAAGGCATTAGGGCAATTTGAAATTATGAAAAGATATATATTCTCATGCGACTAATTAATATTATTATTTTATTGTAAGACCAAACACACTATTGTGTATATATATATATATATATAATTATCAATTTTAACCCTCAATATATATGTGCGTTTTTTTGGCTGTCTTTTAATCTTGTGCTTTAAACTTTTAAAATTCTTGCCATGACAAGAAAATTCAAATTTTTTAGCAAGACAGAGGATCAAAACACAGCCAAAAACATATACGGACAATAGTGATAATTTGCTATAGGTACATAACTAAATTTTCATTTTTTTTCCGAGCATTAGGACCAAATTTGAAGTAGATAGAAATAGAATTATAAAGAAAGCTTACGTACGTCGAATTGGAGACATCTTAGGTTGTTCATGGACAACCTGATGCTGTAGTGGACCAATTTTGTTGCTATTAATGTTGTTGCACTTCGATGAAGATGATATCGATGAAGATGATGATCCATTTTCTTTGAGACATATGCTGTCTCCCATGAAAGAAGAATGCTGCTGCTGCTGCTTTAGCTGCACCTTTGATAATTAATTATTAATTATTAATCACCACAAAAATTAATTAGTTGAATCATTATTAATCACTACAAAAATTCATTGATCTAATTTCTTCATGTAATAGAATCATATATATAGAAGACAACTAATTATAAATGTTTGTGTTTCTTTAATATTTGAATTTGGATGTGGGGATTTAAAAATAGTAAAAACAACAACTAAAATAGTAAATTTCATCTTTTTTTTGTTAACAAGAGAATTAAAATAGTATTTAATACGAGATAAATAGAGATTAAATATGATATTTTGAATGATAACAATTAATTTATTCACTAACCTAATAAATAAAAAAGTTTTTATTTTTTATTTTTTATTTTATAAATAGTGACTAATGTCAATGAAACAAACCATGGAGATTTTTATGAATCACATTAAAGGGTTTTGTTAATTAAGGTTTTTTATGGGGAGAAATGAGAAATTAGGATTGGGTCAATCTCCCCCACCCACCCACCCAATGGTTCCAGTACCTGGAATTCTTGGAGATGAGCAGACTGAAGCAAAGCTCCCATGTTGACAGAAAGCAGGTTTGCACAGTGTCCGCATCTTACAGTAACAATGGTGAACATGCTCCCCCATGGAACACTTACCTGCAGATATAAATCCATCACAAGAATCTGTAAGATATAAGAAGAATCACAACAACAACAATTACAAATTTAATTAATTAATCTGAAGATTTATGGAGCAATGATTTTATATTATCAATAATATACAAAAGAAAGAACCCTAGTCTCTATGTGTGTGTCTAAAAAAAAACAAGAGATTACATCCTGATCAAGAAAATGGAATGTCCTAAAAGGAGCAAAGAAACCATTCAATGCAGGAATTCGTTTTTATTCAATACACGTACACAAATAGCACAATCATCTCAAAATCAAATGAAACAATCATCTTCCTTAATTTTTCAATATACCTTTCAGAATGTACAGAAATTTATAGCAAAAAGCATATTTAATGGATAATAACCCTTGTGTTAAAAAGGAACCCCTCCCTACCCCACCCCCGCAAACCCCCCCCCCCCCCAACCCTCTCTCGTTTCAGTGCTTCTTCTGACTTTTCTGTTGGCCTGACACTCCCATCACTGATACCTCACTGTTCAAGAATGCATGCATAACTGAGAAATCACAACAACACACAAACATATGCATTTGTAGAGAGAGAGAGTTGAAGGGGGGTGTGGTAGAAGAATGAAGAGTCATGAAAAGCCCCCTACTTTGTTAATTAATTACTATCTTTTTACAGACTGTAAAAAAAGAAAATAAAAATGGAGGAAAGATGCAGAAATCGCTAGTGAGTTTTGAGGCTAAAAGCGTGTTTTTAGAGATGAACAAAAAGGAAGGGTAAAAGGAACAGCAGCAGATAGAGATAGAGGTGTGTGTGGGATTCAATTTTAGAACTGTACAGTGATTATATTAGTGGGGTGCAGTACGAACTTTCATGAGAATAGCTCAGCAATAAATTTAGGGATTTATTATCACGAAAGGACACAATTCACCATTTTAAATAATACCAAAAAACCAAAAAGATTCAATTTTAATTGTTCTTTGTTCTTGAAATTTTGGCTATCAAAAAAAAAAAAAAAAAAAGAGATCACAGTGCTAAGCTACTGTAATCATTTAAATCAACCAGAATTTAATTGATTAAAGAATAGAATTAAATAGAAAAGCATAAGTCAAACTAATGCTATTTTTGTGGGTTTCTTTTTCAATCACAAATTAGGGTTTCTGAGATTTGATTGAGCATTACTTTTCCCCCTTTGATTTGATAAACTCATAATCTGACAAAAAAAAAGATAAGTAATTAGGGATCTTAGAAATTCAAATTTCTTGTTAGCATAAAATATCGACTGGTAAAATCATCACACAAATTAAGTTTTCTCCAATCTCCAAATTAATTGCAGAAGATTATTCAGACATAGTGAAAGAAAATTAACTTTGACATGAAATGATCATCGTTCCTACACACACAGACACAAAACCCAGATTAATAATTACTCAGTAAAGAAATAAATAAATAAAAATAAAAAATAAAAACCAAAAGAAGCCACCACCTCTCCCTTCATCAGATTCTCAGAAACAGAAATACCCAAACTTGGGAAATTCATCTGTTCCCAATTTCAGACAACCTAAGATATATATACATACATATACATATATATATATATATACCGCGAGAATTGTGTTGCAGAAGTTGCAGTGGACATAACAAACGCGTTCGGAGTTCAATTCCATGGACATTCAGGGCGACCAGCCTGTAAGTACTATGAATATATATATATATATGTGTATATATATCTTCTTGTAAGAAGAAAACAAGAAACTTTTATAATTAAAAAGGAATGGAGGGAGGTTGAAGGAATTAAAGACGAAAGGTAATCAACAAATCAAAGGGGTGGAATTAAATTATAGCAGAATTGAGGGGGCTAGGGCTTGCAGAGTGATGAGAGAGATCAGAAGAAATTGAGGAGTGAGAAAGGAGGTGCAGAGAGAGAGAGAGAGAGAGCTATGCATATACACACACAGTCACAAATACATATACAGATCATGTAGGTGTAAGTGTAGGTGTAGATGTAGATAGATACATAAATGTGTATGTATTTATGTATGTATTGTTGCATAGCAAGTAGGGCAGAGAGAGAGAGAGGAGAGAGAGAGAGGGAATGAGTGTTGGAGAGTGAGTGGAAATGAGATGAGGGGGAGGGAGATGAAGTGGGAGGAGTAGTACGGGTTGTTAGTGGAGGGGGTGGGGGGTGGGGGTTAGGGGGTAGGGGGGTATCATGATTGAGGGAATGAGTGGGTGGGAGTCATCAATTCTTTTGTGTATGTATATATGTGTATTTATAGATTATTACAGTATTGATGTCAAAATTTGTGCAGCGGACGAGGGGGGCGATTTATGCGCATATTAATATGGTTAGAAAATCCTCCATGCTTGTTTATATCTCTTCTATTTTTTATTTTTTTTTTAAATAATAAAAATAATACTTTGGCTTTAGGTAAGGTGCAATATTTTAATTTCATACACAAAAATTTAAGTAGGTAAGATAAAGTAGAAATTCGACGATGTGACGAGAGAGAAGTATATATATATAATTTTATTTTAGTGATATGATAAAATAAAATATAGTTAATTATTTCTTATTTTGAATATATTGTAGAGTATTTTTAATACATACTAAAATATAAAATATTGTAATTACAGGATGATCTGTTCGATACAATTATATTTATTATTAATATTATAATTAATATTTTTTTTGTCTCAATACAATAGTTTTGTTTATCATTTTTGTCCGTCCCAAAACAATAGTCTTATTTTTATAAATAACCATATCACCATAATACTACCTTTACTTTTTTATTTTTATTACACAATTGCAACTATTTTTACACTAATACACTTACAAAGACAAAAAAGTCTTTTATCTATACTTTTTACCAACTACCAATATAATATTAATATTCTTTAAATCTTGTACTCAACCCAATTAAGACTATAGTTTTAGGACGGAGGGAGTACTAATATTTTATACTATCTTCGTCTCGTTCGGCTCTAAGGGTCCATTTATTTTTTGCGTGTTAGTTTTTGAATATTAATTATTATATTATAAAAATACTTCTTTTAGTATTTTAATACTAATAGAAAAATATTTGTATAAAAAATTATACAAATATGAGGATATTTTTAATGTTAAATACACAAAAGGTAAATGTGATCTTAAGGCTAATGGAGAGAGTATTTGATAGTATTTTTTAATAGGAAATATATATATTATTAGGAATATTTTGATAGTTTAATATAAAACAATATGATTTTTTATTAATATTATAAGATCTATCTTTACTAAGATTTTTATTTTTTAACATTTCAAATCAAAATTAATATTATTTACTTGGCATATATTTTAATAAATATATATATTTATTTATTTTCAGAAGAAATCACATTAAAAATATATATATATTAAAAAATATTTGATCTTTAAAGAGTTTGTTTTGTTGTAGTTTAAAATTGAATGTTTGATTCAAATTTTTATTTTAATAATATTTTAATATTATATTTTTTTAAAGAAAATAATATATCTTTATTGTAAATTTTGTAAGATGAATAAATAATATTAATTTTAATTTAAAATACGAAAAAAAAAATCCAAAGAAGGAAAAAATATCAGAAAATGGGCTTTGAGAATGTGTATTTGAATTGAGGAAGAAAGAGGGAAAATATTTGAGTTAATCAAATTATTGAAAATATCTCACATTGGAGGTGTATCATGTTTTACCAATCATTTTCTCTTTAATTAAAAAAAAAAAAAAATCGAGATATTCGAGTTACTTTGGCATAACAATAGCAAGAAGATACTAAAAAAAATAAAAATAAAACACAACATAAGTATGCTCTTCCTCACCGCTATTCTTTTGCATATTTTGGGATGTATTTAATTTACTTGATAATTTTTTTATATTCGATTTTTGGTTTAAATTACGTATTTAAATTTTAGATTATTTTGGCATCATGTAAACACTATGTTCTTTGTCAATGCGTCGTCAATTTTTATTGTTTCTTGGACAAATTAATATCCTTTATGGACAAATCTTCCTTCTTCTATGTAACCATCTTAGACATGTCATTTGATCTCGTGTATTGGATCATCTATCTTCATTTGTGTCATTAAAATATCGTCAATTTATTTCAAAACACTATCAGAAACAACAATTGCAAAACAATTTGCATTAGGGGAACCCTTTATGCGAGATAAAATATTGAATCTGATCGGTCAGCATTTTTTAGATGAATTGATTTATTTTATTTTATTTTGTATGGTATGAAAAATATATTATGAAAATAATATACACGCAAAAAGATCATGGAAAAAAGTCGAGATGAATACAAAAATTCCTCATTTTATGCATAGTTTGAGAATCTAAATATTTGATTTAATGTTTTTTTAGAGAAAAAATTTAATGGATAGTAAAAATTCGTAAAAATATGTTAAACGAACAGACCCTTAAACTTCATTGTAAAATTATCGTTTGGTTGCAGAAAACATTTGAAATGATACAATGTAAAAAATATTTGAAACATTAAAAGGAATGAATGTAAATTTATAGTTAACTTTGGCATTCATTGCATTGTCAAACTAAAATTAATACCTTTGATTGATGGTAATATTTGAAATAGTATTAATTCAAATCTCTCCTATCAAATGAGTCTCAATAGTACTTTTGATTAGTCATTTAAAATATATTTAACCAAATAAGATCTTAGATTGTAAAAATCACATCTAATTTATGTATTAATGTGATAAAATAAGAAAAAGATATTTAGGCATTATAATATTATAAAATTTGTATTTACCACAAATATATATATTATTTATGAACGACGAAAATATATATTATTAATAGATACAAGAAATATTAAATTAAATTGTATATATATATATATATTTTATGACGTGGAACCCGCAGCCGCTATCCGAAAGTGCGCACTACGTAAACCCCTAACTATACCTAATACTCTCCAAAATAGGGCCGACAGTTATTAAGTTGTATATATTGATTGTAATAAAGTTCATTTAATGCTTTATTAGAAATGTACTTCGGGTGTGTTTGTTTTGGAAGATTGAATTTTAAATTCACTATTCATTCCATTTTTTTTCCAAAAAATATCAAATCAAACACCTATTTTTTATTTTTTATATTATACTAAAAATTAACTTTACATTCAAAACATCACATCAACACTTATTTATATCACATCATACCACTATTAAATTCAAAATTTGTACTATTCAAATCCTAACTCAAAATCCAAACCACCGTACAAACACACCCTTCGAGTTTTTAAAGTTATTAATTCTAACTATTTTCTTATATTAAACTGCAGGTCATTATCACCTATTACATCATTGACTACATAAATATATTTTATAATTTTTTACTGCATCTAAACATTAAATTATATTCTAAAAGTATTTCAAAATATTTTTTCGTTTCAAATAAATATCAAAATAAGATGTGAGAATTCCAAATTTAATTATTCCAAATCTATTCATTTTTAAAGTTTGCTATTACATTCAAATTCACCCAATTACAAGCATGGCCATCATTTTTTTTCATTTAATTGTGTATTGAAGCAATATAGGCTCTTTTTCTTATGATTATATATATATATAAATACTATATAATAATCTTAATTTTTTTTTAATAAAAATACATTATTTTATTTTATAAAATATCAATTCAATCATTATTTAGACATAAAATCACGGTACACAACCCATAATATTAACATTTTTTGTCTAGTTCCTTGTGTCACGGACCGAAACTTTAGCCGAGTATTGCCGAAAGGAAGATGCAGACGGATGCTGAGTTGGCGGCACGCCAACGCCCAGAGGCTAGCGGAGATCCTTCAAGATGTTTCGAAGCCTCCTGAAATATTCTGGAACATTCTAGAAGCCCCCGAGATTGCCCCTCAACTGAATTGATGATATTATCAATTAGATTTAGATTATCTAGATATCTTTATCCATATCTCTTTATTTATTTAGATATCTATATTTGTAGGTTGTTAAGATATAGCAAATCCAAGTGTGGATTTGATAAGATATTACGTATCCATATCTTGCTAAGATTTAGCATATCCATGATAGAGTGCCTATATAAAGAGGAGGAGTCCTCACTTGTGCTTCACTTCAGCTTTGAGAGTTAATAAAACACTCTACTTTGCCAGGTGCATCTTATAGTGTTCTTACTTTAGCGTGCGTTAAAGATGTGTACAAGGCTGTACTAGCCGAAGAATCGCTAGGCTAACAAAAAAGGTGTTCGCGGAGGAATCATCCGACCCGTTACACTTGGGACATAGCATCAATTTGTTCTTAGTGTTGACGCAAAATGCTAACCCTAAGCCTATGTTTATGCGTATACTAGACGTAAATTAAGAGATGGTATTAATATAAACAAGATGGAAAATACTTATTCGTTCATAAGCGAGGTTGTTAATCAATATCTAAACTAACTAATGCCTAAACTTGGCATTGGATTCAAAATTGCGCCTAACTATGCCAACCCGAGTTTAGAACCACGCTGTATATAGGCGCAAGTTGGCATGTTGTACCGAAGCCGGTTGTTTTAAGTAATTTTATTTTTGTTGGTGATATCATTTACTTTATTAATAAAAATATGAATTTTATTTACTTTGATTTTATTTCTTATGAATCATTTTATTTTTTATTTTTCTAATATATACTGAAAATTTGAGAAATACGCAATGTGTGTTTATTTGTCATTTTTCGTACTATTTGATTTTTACAATTTTTCTTTTTTAAAAAAACACATTTTAAGTCTCATAAAATATCATATTCAAATAAAAATTAAAATTAAAATAAACATCAACTAAATGATGCAATACTTCAAATTCTCACTTCACTAAAATACTGTCTTGATTAATTATTATCTTGTCTTGATCAATTCATCATCTTTTTTTTTTTTTTTTTTTTTTTCATTTGCAAGATATCTTTCTATCTAAATAGATTTGTCTAAATCATTGTGTGTCTGTATATATATATATATATATATCTTTTAATTGAATTTTTTATTTACTAAATAGAATAATCAATTTTATTTTTTTTTATCGAATTTTCTTTATCTTCAATTTTACTTCTTTTGTCTCATTTAAATGTATTTTTTTTACTATTTTCTTCAAACCCATTAAAAAATATTTTTTTTATTATAGTAAAAATAATTGATATACACTCATAGCTAGAAAAAAAAAATCTCTAAATATAAAAAATAGAAAAATCCCTAAATTCCTAATACTTCTTAGAATAAAAACTCTCTAATTTCTAAAACATAGAGAAAAAACAAAAAAAAACCCAATTTGTAAGCTCGCGTACTTGCGGGTCTCATTCATGATTCAACTTGGAACAAAAAAATAAATTAAAATCATAAATTCCTAAAATATCTTTTTTTTTATAAAAAGACTAATCAAGATATTTTAATCTTTTTTATTTGTATAAACTTTATATAATTAAGTGTATATGTTTACCATCAAACATCAATTTTAAACAAAGATGGTCTAATTTGTATACTTTAATTTAAAACAAAAAAATTATACGCAACAAATAAAATATGATATATTGTGTGCATCTTCATTAAAATATAAATAATTATTATGAGTATAATTTAAAAACAAAATAAAAATAAAAAACAACCACTAATTTGAACTAGGTATAGCCGAATTGAGATTTTGGTGAGTCTGGCGCAGTTGTTTCAACTGTAGGCAGCGGCACAATAATTTTCAAAATATTATTTTAAAATATTAAATTTTGAAATCAAAATATCAAAAATCTAAAAATTTTGGAGCTTAAATAAATATAAATTGATATTTTTTTATTTTTTTTTAATGTGAATGAGAAAAAAAAATATACTTACAACATTTTAATCTTGAGCAGATTGATAATTCATCTATTGTATCTCTCTGTCGCATTAATGATTAATAATTTTGAAAATTGATATTAATATATTTAGTAGTATTAATTTTAAAAGAATTCGTGTTATAAGTAATATATAAGTTTTTTTCTTTTTTTTATAAATTTTATACGGGCTTTGTTTAGTATTTATAAGAGCCCTATTAAAATATTAAAATTATTTTATACTTTTATTAATTAAGAAAATATTAGGATTCCTATTTTTAATTTATTATAAAAAATAAAAATATACATTTCATTGAGATTGAAAAAAAATAATTTTCTACCCTCCTTCAGTCTCATATAAAATATTTATTATTATTTTTTATTTCAATCCGCCACATAATTTGTATTTTTTAAAAAAATATATAATTATACATTTTAATTAAAATTTAAAGTTTATATCTTTTAGTTTATTTAAATTATTAAATTATTTTTATTATATAATAATTAATTTTATTATTATATTATTAATTATTTATTAATTATATTTTAAATAAATTTTTATATCTCTAGTAACATAAACAATTTATTCGAAACGGAGAGAGAATTATTTTTCTGTCGTTCAAATTGAATGTACCTTAAGTCCCAAGCCATACATCCTAACAAACCTATAGTTGCTCTTGAAAAGACAAGATCCACTTTTATCTTTATAATAATAATAATAATAATAATAATAATAGTAATAATAAAAAAAAAAAAAAACAATTAAGTGAATAATTAATTAACGTCCCATAATACGTCAAATAGGAGGAAGAAATGTTTTGGACATGATTGATAGATAGATAGATAGATAGATAGATAAGACGTAACTGTAAAGGATTAAGGAATTGGTATCGGTGCCGATTTGACACCCTAAAAACACACCTCACGCTCACTCACGTGATTTGTTTCTCCCATTTTTGCTTGCTTTTCAATTAATTCACAGAGTATGTTTTTAATTTAAATAATTTGAATAATTATTATTCATATGTCCCATAAATATATTCCTAATTGGATTGAACACATAATTTAAAAAATATTAATATTATATTGACAGTTGGTAAAAATATGAATAAAAGATTTTTTTTGCTTTTTGAGTGTATTAATTTAAAAAGTAGTGGTAATTTATGTAATAAAAATAAAAAAGTATAGATAATTTTATGGTGATATGATTATTTATGAAAATGAGACTATTGTTTTAGAACAGACAAAAAATAATAAATAAAACTATTATATTGGGACGAGGGAGTATTATCATTTTTTTCATGTGAGTTATAAAAAATTACTTCGTACCACATCATTCATTTATTTTTTTTAAAATATAATTATATATTTTAATCATATTTTAAAATTATAATTTATAAATTTTTTTATTTTAATTAAACTATTTATTCATTTTAATTTTAATTTATAATTATTTTATTAAATTATAATTATTTTTACTAGTACATTTTCTCAATATCTAAGCTCTATATAATATATTGTGAAATGTAGGTATTGAGTAATTAGTAAATAATTACTTCCTCCCTCTCATTCTAAAGGGAAATAAGTATTAATATATGATTATTTTTACTGAAATAAGAAAATAATATTTTAGAATGGGACATAACAAAAATAGTAAAAATGGTACTTTGAGATAAATGGAATAACTTATATGTGTTCTTATATTATTTTCAATAATAAAAAAAAAAATCTAACTTATATTTTCATCCTTCTTTTTAGGAACTATAAACTCTACTTTGTTATATAAATATCTTTATTGTATCATTAAGTCATTACTTTTATAATTAAAAATATAAAAAAAAATATTATTTTTTTACTACTTTTAACCACTCATAATAAACAAATAAATATTTTTTTTTTCATAAAATATTTTAAATATAATAAAAATTATTTCACTCAAATAAAATCACAAATTTTCAATATATATTTTGATTGTATATATATATATATATATTTTATACTTATAACATTTTAAAAAATATATATATTTTATAAATTAAACTATATGTAATCATTATTTTACTATTAAAAAATAATAAAAGAGAAAATACAAAGAATTCTTTGGAGTAGAACTGATTAAAAATTTACAATGATTAAAATAATATTTTAAATTAAAAAAATAAAATATTATTGAATAAAAAATCAAAAATATACTTTGTTTCAATTAAATTTCAAATAAAATCAAATAAATTTTAAAAACAAATTGTAAAAAATATATATTCAATTATCACTTTTATTTTTTAATTATCTCAATAATGATGAAGGAATGAAGTAAAATTGTACTAAAGTAAAAAATATTCCCTCTGTCTCGTAATTATGTATCCGTTTATTTTTCACGTAGTTTTAAAAATATTAATATTATATTGAGATACAGTAGAAATGACTAAAATATATTGGAAGTAGTAAGGTAATTGTAACGGTAGATAGTATCATTGAAAAATCATTAAGTGACAAATAGGGTTAATTTTGTCATTTTCTTCCAACCAAACAATTACAGTCGTGTGAGCGAGTGAGTCAAAAATGTCACCTACTCACTACTCATCATCATCGTCCCCATCTCCATTGAATATTATTGATTGTTAGGCAGCAGGTAGCTGGGTCGTTGGCTCCTCTGCCTCTGCCTCTGCCTCTGTCTCCACTCCCATCTGGGGAGTACTTAATTTTGTAGGTTTCTTTCACTCCCACTCCCACCCTATCCATCTATCTAATCTAGGGTTCTGAGTTTGGTGGAAAACGCTTTTCAATCCATCCCTAATTGTAATAATCAAGTACCGCTATTTAATTGGATTTTCTCCGTGCACTGCACAATCCTCATCTGATCTCCTCCTCCATTGCTGCTGCTGCTGCTGACCCCCCCACTTCCCAACTCTCAATTCCCCCGGCCGGCCGCCCGGCCATGGCGCTCGCCAGACTACTCGCCGCTTTATTTCTCCTACTCGCTGTGTACTGCGCCGTCGACCCCTTCAACCACGCCGCCATGAACGGCTTCCCAGACTTCGAGACTATTAAGGTCGACCTGCCGCCGTGGTCCGCCGTCCCCCTCGACAGGGACGCCGCCAATCTCCTCCAGAAATCCGAGCTCAAGTTCCTCAATCAGGTGCAGGGCCCCGAGAGCTTGGCGTTCGATCCCGCCGGCCGCGGCCCCTACACCGGCGTCGCAGACGGGAGGATTCTCTTCTGGGATGGCAACAATTGGACGGATTTTGCCTACACTTCCCCCAATCGGTGAGTGGCTAACTACTACTTCATTGATGAATAACTCTAAGCATGTTGATCTTGAGATTCATTCATATATCATTCATTCGCTGCCTGCCTGAGATTCATGCTAGCTGATTTCATAATTTGATCTTGAATAGTAGTAGTTTAGTGCACTAATTATGTACGATATAACAATGCTTTAATTTCCAACATTACTAATTGTATGAACATACATTTGATGGATGGTTTGATAATCGTCATTGGATTTATAGGCAATAATTGAGCTTTGAAGAGCTGTGCAATCAACCCGAGTAGATAAATATTACTCCCTCCGTCCAGATACGGTGTCTGTTACACTGTAGACTTGGTATTATAAGATTGGTGTAATTAGTAAATAATTAAGAATGTATTAGTGAAAATAATTATCCTATAATATAAATAATTATAAATTAAGATTAAAATAACTAATTAGTTTAATTAAAATTAAAAAATTAAAATTTAAAAATTTAAAATGAGATTAAAGTGTGTAATCATTTTCCAAAAAAGGAAAGTGACATGGTATGTGGGACGGACCGAATCGTCAACGTGGACATGGTATCTGGGACGGAGGGAGTAGTATTATTTTCCCAGGTTGGGGTTTTGCTTTTGTTTCTCTCTCTGTATTTCACAGAAAGGGGCCATTAATGGTGGACAGAGTTGTAGTTAAGTATTGATAGCTTGGTATCTCTGTAGTAGGCTAACTGCACAAGCTGTAACGAATTATGTCAAGATTTAATTAGACACCGGCTTCTTGAAATTAGGCATGGCTATGTGGATGGTGTGTTCAACTAAACTCTAACTAAAATCCAGTCCCATTTAATTTGATCAAGATTTAAAAAGGAAGGAATATCTACGTGCCAATAATTAATTTGGGCAAATCCTCGGCACCAGTTGCAAATTTTACAGGCATTTTTATGGAGCTGCATTCTAAATAAAGAAGAAACTTAAGCAACCCCAAGAATAATTGATCGTTGGATGTGCATTTGAAGGCTTTGTTTACTTGATTTTGCTTTTTAGGTTCAGATAGTGGGTTGGATAGTTGAATGTGATGGGTTATGAGAGAAAATAATATATGTTCTTAGAGAAACACGCGGATTGCACGGTATAAAGAAATCTAAAAAGAAAATCACTAAGTGCTGTTGAATTGCAGTTGAGCTGCTTTGTGCTTAAGATCTTTGTTTCTATCTTTTTTTTTTTTTTTTTCCGTATTTTTGGTGGACACTGCAGGTGTTTTATAGGAAGATACTATATAGTTTCATATTTATTTATATTTGTTATTGTGGTTTTAGTTTGCCTTCATTCCATAGCTACTTAGTAGCTCTGTTCCCTTCTCCTTTTGAGAATTACCACTCGAGACTGTAAGAGTTTCTCATGGAGTAATTAGGGGGGTTTACCGGCTACAATAAGGGAATGGTTAGACTGGTCGTGGTGTAACAGATCGATTAGGCCTTAAAGTTCTATGAACTTGGCTTGGTTTTACATTTTTCAACATTTAAATGGCCGTTCTGTGTTCTTGGTGTCTCCTATGTTTCAGTATCATCTCAGAACTCGTCATTCACTGCATTCGTACCATCATTCTATCGAAATTCTAAACATGGTTACTTGAATTTTAGTGCAACTAACTGTAATCAAATTGCTTCCTCTATCAGGTCAAGTTTATGTGATCCAAAACCATCACCTATGAGCTACTTGCCGAATGAGCACATCTGCGGCAGGCCATTGGGGCTAAGATTTGACAAAAGAACCGGAGATCTTTACATTTCAGATGCATATTTTGGATTGATGAAAGTTGGCCCTGAAGGTGGCTTAGCTACGTCGCTGGCTACTGAGGCTGAAGGAGTCCCTTTTGCATTTACAAATGACTTAGACATAGACAGCGAGGGGAATGTCTATTTCACTGATAGCAGCGCAAAGTACCAAAGAAGGTTGGTATTACAATCGAAATTATAAATAGGAAATTAAGGGTATCTAAAATGTTGCGGCATACTTGTTTCAGGAATTTTCTCCAATTAGTTTTCACAGGAGACGATAGCGGAAGGCTACTGAAATACGATCCTAAGACAAAAGAAGCCACTGTTCTTGCTCGGAATCTTCAATTCCCCAACGGTCTTTCCATGAGCAAAGATGGTTCGTTCTTTGTGTTTTGCGAGGGTGCTCTTGGCAAGTACGTCGAACTTATTTCCATGGCACAAATTTATATAGTGCTTATTAATTGGTTAAAGGCAAAATTGTCCATAGTTCGCTTGTGGTTTCGAAATTCAGCGTAAATTTTCCATTTATTTTAAAAATTGTATGGAACTCTTATACTTTAAAAAAACGTTACATGAAACTCCTTTGTAATTTTGAAACTCAATGTAAATCTCAACTTTACTTAAAACAATTGCATGATGCCTCATGTACTTTAAAAAATATTGCATGAAACTTCCATCATTCAAAAAATATGGATAGAAAACATTTCTTATCACACAACGGAGGTTTCATAGGGTGGGGTTTCATGCAACGTTTTTGAAAGTATAGGAGAGTGCCAAACAATTTTTAAAAACTACAGAGAGATTTTACGTAAAATTTCGAAATCACAGGAGACTTATAAACAATTTTACATTTTAAATTAAATGTAAGTATGGAGGCATGTTTTTGGGCAGGTTAAGTAGGTATTGGTTGAAGGGCAAAAAGGCGGGGACGCGCGACACACTGGCGACATTGCCTGGATTTCCCGACAATGTCCGGACAAATGAAAAGGGTGAGTTTTGGGTGGCCATCCATTGTCGAAGAAACACATACTCTTACTTTATGGGTTTGTACCCACAAATCCGGAAGCTATGGCTGAAGCTCCCGATCTCTGCGAAGATCCATTACCTGATGCAGATCGGCGGGCACATGCAAGGCGTGGTCGTTAAGTACAGCCCGGAAGGCAAACTGTTGCAGATATTGGAAGATCCGGCGGGGAAAGTGGTGAAGGCGGTGAGTGAGGTGGAGGAGAAAGACGGGAGGCTGTGGATGGGGAGCGTCTTGATGTCGCATGTCGCGGTTTACCAGTTGGAATAAGTGCTAAGCCAAATCTTTACTTATTTGTGCTCGCGTTGGTGTTCGTTTAAGAATAACAAGAAGTTGGTGTTTAATGTTAAATTTGTACGGAACTTTTGTTTTGTTTAACACTGTGCTCGTTGTCTTTGCCCATGGACATGTTTTAGTAACTCAGAAATATAGAGAGGATGTATGCAATATCACCTTAACTCAAGTAGGAGGTGTTTGGTTTAAATGGTAGACTTTATGGGCTTTGATCTTTTAGATTTTTATCTTAAAATGTATACTATATATTAATCGTGTTTTCGACTTATTGATTTTACTATTTATCTATATTAACTTTATGTATTTATTCAAACAACTTTTTTTGTAGATATATTTTTAATTAATTTTATAAAATATATAGCATATGCCCACATAATATATAAAATAATAAATAATTCAAACTAAATCACTAAATAAATATATTTTTAATTTAATTTAATTATTTTATTTTATTCATGATACCGTATTAAACAGATCATTACATTCAATTAAATTTTTATGTCAAAATAGCAAAAAATATATAAATAAATTTGGCTTCGCCCGCTACTCATTATTATTAATATATTTTATTTTTTTTTAATTGAACTATATTAATAATAAAATTAATAGTATTTTATTATTTTTATATTATATAGAATTTTAATTTTTAAGTAATAGTACATTAATTATAAAAATTTAATAAATATGTTAATAATTAAACCGGCGGTTCGGAACCAAATGGGCAACTCTACCATGGCCCAAGTCCAATTTCGTCCCTGGCCTGGCCTGGACCATCGGGCCCAGTTCAGATGCATCCACATTCTCCAGGTCCACGCTATGTCTTCCATCGAAACCATGGCGGGGCTTTCTTGAGAAGCTGAAGTTCAAAGCTCAGTTCAGGACGCACCGATATTTTCAGAGAAAGCTTTAGGGAATTCGATGTTTGCTGGCAGTGGGAAGGCTGGTTCGATTATATGCAGCGATTGAGTAAATTGTTACTTAATCCATTTCAGTTTCTTCTATTTCCCACACGCATTTGTGTGCATTTCCGTTTGCGTACAGAGCCTTTTTTCCCATTCAATTGCATCGGGGATTGGTGTTTCATACTTTCTTCATTCGCATTTTGCTATTGTTCAAGCGTTTCATTCCTATCTGTAGCGTCTATCATAAACCCTAACCCTTTTGGGAAACAGAGAGTACAAATAGTAGAAATTTGGGGTTTGGGTTAAAGAAACACTAATCTCCCGAGGGAATAGCAACAAAAAGTTGCAATTCTCTAAAAACCCTAAAATTTGTGTGAATAGCTGGAAGGATCAAAGTATTCCTTATGTCTCTAGGTAACAAAGATGATAATACAATGAATTTTGGAATATTCATGGCGTTTTGATTTTTGATTTTTGATTTTTCCTTTTTCCGGTTTGGTTTTGTTCATCCGGTGCCTTCACCGGCGCCATTTATCTATTTGGGTTTTGTGTAGTTGCGTTCTTCTTAGCCTCTTTGTTGCTCTGTGGGAAAAGAAAAAAAGTACTTCAATTTTTGGTTTGTATCTTCTCATTGAGAAGTGATTGAGTAATTGTGGGTTTTGTGCTGTTGTTTTTTAACCTTTTGTTGTTATATATATGTTGATGTGCTCTGTAATATGATTTGTTTACTGTGCATCAAACTGTGATGTCTCTGAGTCTCTTTTTGTAGATGTTACTTTTTAAGTTTCAGTCATTAGCAAATTTGATTTTTAGGATGATTGTTGGAGGTGCTTATGTAACAATTTTTGGAGGTGCTTATGTAACAATTTTTGGAGGTGCTTATGTAAGTCCTAATATGTTGAATTGGTTTGAGTCATTGTTTAGGATCATTAGGTAGTGGCGAATTGAGGTAAAAAACAATCAGAGAAGATATCCTTGCTTAATGAATTTTATGGGCTCGTGTGATTAATTATTTCTTTTTTTCTTGAACTACAATAGCTGAGGGACGGTATTCTTGTTTTCTTAATTTTCAAAAATGGTTAATTGCATTAGTTCATCAAATATTTCTCCTTAAGAAAACTTCATGTTGTTTCAAAGGCTCATTTGTGTTTTGTATAGTTGTTTTCTTTTTTTCTGGGATTTGCCTCTTTAGGGAGATTGTTCATTAGGTTACTGAGTTTTAACCTCTATATACATGTGCTTTTTTCCTCTGTGTCTGCTTCTCAAGTGTTCTTTTTATTGTCATTATTTTGTAGATTGTAGCTTCGAGGTATATCCACAGCGCCAGAATTAAGATGGTGAGTTAAGAAACTTAATAGAGTTGCATCATGCTTTTTACTGATTTTATTATTCTGATTTCCAGTAGTCAAATTTGTGTATCAGTTCTCAAGAAATCTAACCATAATATCTAATTTAATATCATTTAGAAAAAGAGGTTTGCCAAGAATTGTACTTCAGGTATTCTAGTGTGAGAGTATGGAACCCTGGAATGCATTTACATTGTCATTACGGAAGTGATCTGTATCATATAGATAATAATTATATTCTCTATGTTGTCTTGCCTAATTAGACATGATGGCAATTCTAATGTTGTTGTGGATATAGTTATATAGTTACATGAAGGGGCGGTGTCAAGGATGGGTATGAAAGTAGCACTATGTGGCCTTTTCAGAAGGTTGTGAAGTAAGGTTGTGGCATGTCACGTCTTTAGGCTGAATCTACCTGAGGCAAAGGCAATTGTATAGAGCTTATATAGCTTCTTTGCACTTTCCTATTTACACCCGGATGTTTGCTCTGAGAGGGTAGTATGCATAGCTGAGAAATTTTTTATCGTGTAACATGGAAGATCATCTGGGTCATGCTGTTTCCCTATCTTTAATTGTCTTTCTTTTGTTTTTTCTCATCTTTTATTTGTCTTCTAATGGAATTGTCCAGTGCATCTCATGATGCAGTACTCATTTTTTGTATTTTGCTATGAGCAACAGTCACAAGATATAAGAAAGTGGTTTGCGAAGAAGCAGAACAAGGGTGATGGGAATGGAAATGCACCATCTCCAGCCAAGCAATCTACACCCGAGAAGCCTCCCCAATCTGGGAAGATGGTTTGTTCCTCATATCAGCACCTTTTTTGCTATTGAGACCCATATCTATTTTCATGAAACATTTATTGTGAGCTCTTGAAGTGACTATATATTCAAGTATAGGTGTGGCCATCACAACTCTTTTTTTTTGTGTGTGGAAAAAAAGGGTAAAAGGAACAGAAAGTGAAGATAAAACATACAATTTTATTAAACACAAAAGTACTTCTAATTTTGAGCATTTTTTAATCTTCTTGAGGGAACTGCTCTATTTATCTATATATCTGATCTATGATGACAATCGGGAAGCATGGTACACCTATGTGGGAATAGAATGGACACAGTTTCTCTGTTGGATTGTTTGTTTGTATGTAGTATGTATTCTTTCAATGTTTGTCTGGTTTGGTTAATTGTGCTCCAGCTAACGATTCTTCCTATCTTGTGAGATTCCTAGGTACAAGGAATTCAAGAATGTTCTGGAAGAAGAAAAACTAGCAAATATTTTGCCAAGGATGGGCAAGATGCCAAAGATGAGATGGATGTTGATGAAGTTCCTTCAAAAAAGAAGGCACAAAAGGGTAGGGCAGAGTCAACAGGTGATGTCAAGTCCCCACCTCTAAAAAAAGCTCACAAACTTGAGGAGGAGGATGGAGATGAAGATTTTGTTACACCTGCTTCAAGAAAGAGCTCAGCGGATCCCACTCCAAACAAGAAATTGAAAAGTAGTTCTGGTAAAGGGGTTGCTCGGAAACTTGTTGAAGAAAGTGATGAAGATGAAGGTGAAACCACAAAATCCAAGTCAAAATCTGTTGGCAGGGGTAGAGGTCGTGGCTCAAAAGGTTCTTCAGCCACTTCAACTGCTGTGAAAGTGGATGCTGATGAAGCGGATGAGGATATGGATGATAAGGAATCTGTAAAACCTGCTGGACGAGGCCGTGGTGGAAGAGGAGCACCAGCAGGTGGTAGGGGTAGAGGTGGCTTCATGAACTTTGGCGAGAGGAAGGATCCGCCTCATAAAGGAGAGAAGGTAGAAGATTGATGAATTGTGCCTCTGTTCGAAATATTAATCTTGACAATGGCTAATATTCTTGGATGTCAGGAAGTTCCAGAAGGTGCTGCTGACTGTTTAAACGGGTTGACTTTTGTCATCAGTGGAACCCTTGACAGGTGCTTCTATCTTAATGAGCTTGTAAACATTATTTGTGCATTCATTGCCGGGCTAAAACTATTCCTGTGCATATTTGCATTTCACATTTATTCATCTATAACTTTACTCTATTGGCTCAGATGCTACCATAAGCTCGTGTTCCAGGTGAAATCTGATAACAATTCTCTTTAAAGTTGTTGTCACCTCGTTTTTTGCTTTCAGTTTAGAGAGAGAAGAAGCTGAAGATTTGATAAAACGTCACAGTGGGCGCGTTACTGGATCTGTCAGCAAAAAGACGGTGACCATGTTTATTTAGTTATCTCATCTTGCTTCATCCCTTGTGTTTCTTCATTAGCCAATAGCGTACAAAGTTTCTTGCAGAATTTCCTTCTCTGTGATGAAGATATCGGTGGAAGAAAGTCTGAAAAAGCGAAAGAGCTTGGGTAAGATTTTTACACTTACTTTTAAAACCTAATTATTTGTGGTGCATGTGGTGGATAGTACACTCAATTTCCTTTCTAATTGCATCTATATATATATATATATAATATTTCTGTATCTCTTCTCCAGCACTTCTTTCCTCACTGAGGATGGTTTATTTGATATGATTCGAGCATCAAATAAATCAAAACCTTCTGTTCAAGATTCAAAGAAATCAGTGGATAAAGCTGCACCACCACCCAAGAGTAGCCCTCAAAAGTCTGAAAAAAGTAGTATGTTGCCTCATTCATCATAATCTCTTGTTTTCATCTGTCTGCCATTGGGATTAAAACAATGTGTGTGTGTTGTTGTAGTTGGTAAGATATAACCTGTGTTTCCGAGATTTATACTAATAAATACTACTTATAAGTTGTGAATTCCCTTTGGATGACTATTCACTAAGGGTGTGTTTGTTTGGGGGTTTGGATTTTGGATTGAGATTTGAATAGTAAAAATTTTGAATTTGAATAGTTATATGATGTTGATATAAATAGGTGTTGATGTGATATTTTGAATGTAAAATTGATTTTTAGTATAATATAAAAAATGAAAAATAGGTGTTTGGTTTGATGTTTTTGGGAGGAAAATTGGATGAATAGTTGGATCTAAATCCAATCCTCCAAACAAACACACCCTAAATGTAAGGACGGACTAGAATTCACACTCAGTTCCCCCTTTGAATATTTAATTCCACAGGGTTGTTTATGCGCTTCATAATTAAGTTTATGATCACCCAACCATTAAGACTTGATAAAATTGATTACAACCATGAAAATTACAAGGGTGGTTTTGTTGTAATGCTCCTCAGTAAATGGAGGAAGGAAGTATGTGTTCAGATGTTACATCTATATGCTTGATAATTGAAGAGCATTTTGCCAGTCTTTTGGACATTGGACAGTAATCAATGATGACTTTAAAGTAGAACCAGCTCTTATCAAATGTTTTGGATAATATTTTTGTGAAAGAAGCTACAAATGTGTTCTAAGGATCGTGAAAATGTTTCTTAGAAGGAAATTTTGACCTTTGAGTTAATGCTAATAGACTATAGTAATTATTTTATATACTCGGTTTGAGAGCGAAGGTAGCAACCTCAGGTTCTGCTATCTCATTTATGTCTCTAACTATATCAGAATTATTGTCTTCTTTATGCAGAACAACAAGCTGGCAATATTGTTGCTAGTGCAGGTGCAAAAGGATCGGCATCTCGCGTCACATCTTCCAAAGCTGCTTCTAAGTCAAAAGATCGACCTACTGCGCAATCCTTGTTGCCATGGACTGAAAAATACAGGCCAAAGGTTCCCAATGATATTGTTGGGAATCAGTCTCTGGTGTGTGTTTATTGTTGTCTCTGACTTTGTGGGAGGAAACTTATTCAGTTTGCATCCTTGCCTTCTTTTTTGATAACTGTTATGTTGGTTGCAGGTGAAGCAGCTTCATGATTGGTTGGCACAATGGAACAATAATTTTCTCAACACTGGGAAAATGGGGAAGGGGAAAAAGCAGAATGACTCAAGTGCTAAGAAAGCTGTGCTTTTGAGTGGCACACCTGGCATTGGGAAGACCACTTCAGCAAAGGTGGTCAGTCAGATGCTTGGTTTTCAGACAATCGAGGTTAGAATGCGTCTTTTATGATTTATCCTTCCATATTTCTCTTCTCTCTTTCCCTTCGTTGCTACCTTATAGTTGTCAATCCATCTTTGATCAATTTACCATTTTCTAAAGGTTAATGCTAGTGACAGTCGTGGGAAGGCAAATGCTAAGATTGGGAAAGGGATTGATGGAAGCACATCTAATTCTGTCAAAGAACTTGTTAGCAATGAAGCCCTCAGTCTTAAAATGGAACGGTTGGCATTAACTTCCACGATTACATTGCAAAGTAGTGGTATACTTTATTCACATTTATTTCAACCAATACTGCAGTTCCCCGCAACAAAAGACTGTCCTTATTATGGATGAGGTAGATGGTATGTCTGCTGGAGATAGGGGTGGAGTAGCTGATCTTATTGCCAGCATTAAGATATCAAAGATTCCTATAATATGTATTTGTAATGATCGTTACAGTCAGAAACTCAAGAGCCTTGTAAACTACTGTTTACTTCTCAACTTCCGGAAGCCAACCAAACAACAGGTCTTTATACTCATATTACATTTGGATACTCATATATATATATATATACATACATATATCATAATTTGATTGTTTAATGCAGCTTTTCAGTGGGGTGGGGAATGGGGATAAGATGTTGCTCAAAAACTTTTGGAAGAATGAATTATATATGACCGTAAAATGATTCATGCCCCTGTCAACTTAAGTTTTAGGTCAGATGGTTATTTAGCACTAGAAAGCATCCTAGCACCGCACACAAGAGTAACACCTAGTGAGAATACATATTCCAAAATTGTGAGTTTTTATTTTTTATAGTTAATGCTCAAGGCTCTGAAGTAAGAAAAATTGTCCATACTTTTCTCTTGAGTGTTCAATGTGGCCAAGAATAATGAACATGTTTATCATCAAGAATTATTTGAAATTTATGGTGGTGTTGAGGTTTCTCACCCTAAGCGTCTAGTTGTTCTCATCTTAAGAGGGTTTCCCCCCTCTCAATCCTCTCTGCTTGATATAACCATTGAAATTCCATCCATTTTTTTTTCTAAAATTGTTATAAGTCAATCTATACGTTATTGAATCAGCTTATCTGTCGTTGCATATTCTGCTATCGTTGGTAGTGTCTATTCGGATAATTGATGTAACAAGCTTTGTCTTGAAATAATTTGCTTAAACATTTCATGTGAACTTAGATAAAATGGCTGCATTTTCCTTTATTGTATTGAGCATGATGCTACTTTTAGTTCAAGACAATAACATCTGTAGTGATGCAATGACAGATGGCCAAAAGGTTATCACAGATTGCAAATTTAGAAGGTCTTCAAGCGAACGAGGTATATACTTGATTTAAAATTTTGATGTTTCTTGCTAGTATTTCATGATTAATAGCAAATATTGCCTCTTAGCAATTTTGTGTTTGTCATTTTTACCCTTTGACATAGTTCTTTTTCTTGTTGCCCTACATGGCTATGTGCATGGATGCAACTGACATATATGGGCATTCTGATCATAGATTGCACTTGAGGAACTTGCAGAAAGAGTTAATGGCGACATTCGTATGGCACTCAACCAGCTACAGTATATGAGTCTTTCGATGTCGGTTATTAAATTTGATGATATCAAACAGCGCCTTCAAAGCAGTTCAAAGGATGAAGATATTTCCCCCTTCACTGCTGTTGATAAGTATGATTCATTAGATGTTTGAGTGACTATTCAACACTATTGTCCCTATATACCTTCCTTCCCTCCTTTTGTGCTATTGCTGACATTATTTTGTGGGGTGATTAGTGACTGAAATTTATACAATTTTCAGGGATATTGTTCCCACACTTTGCCCACATTTATGTAGTTATGAATAGCATTGATGAAGCATGCTAAAATTTTTAAGTACTTTACCTATCAGCCATAGATTACCTGGCAGAGAGTCTCTTCTTCTTTATTTTGTGTGTGTGTGTGTGTGTGTGTGTGTGTTTCTACACATTTGTAACTAAGAAGGTAGATTTTAGCTCTATTAATCCAATCTTAAGATATTTATGAAGTTCTTATCTTTGATTTATTGAAATTCCCTTTTAAAGCTGCCATCACGTTAAAGTCTTATTATTTACTGTTTCCATGAAGGCTATTTGGCTTCAATGCTGGGAAGTTGCGAATGGATGAGAGAATCGACCTCAGTATGAGTGATCCCGATCTTGTTCCACTTATTATCCAGGTAGTGCTCATACCCTTGCTTAACATTTCAGTTTGGAGCTGTTGGACTCAGAAACTTAGAGTTCACTGTCATCGAATGCTGAAGATGAGAGGTTAAAGGAGGAAAGAAAAAGAAGTAAAACACTATACACCTCACATGAAACTGAATATATATCCTATAAAATTTAAGTTGGAAAATTATTGTGACAGGCTCATTTCTTCTTACTATGTTTATTTGCACCGCCACATGCATCCTACTTCAATGAAGTATTTCGTCCAATTAACTGGTGGTCTTCTGTCGAAATTTGTGTGTAGATACATCAATACTGTGTCATTGCTCACATTGTTTACTGCTGTTATCGGTTAGTTGTGCATTGTTTAAATTTTATAGATGTTCTACAAGTTTTGAAACTATGTCAATCTTGATGAGAGGAATTTGTTTTACTGCTATTAACAAATGATAGTTTCATCCATTAGATTAGTTTTGTTTGTTGTGCAGGCAAGAAAAGATTTACTACCATTCAAGCCTCTTAAGCAGTTTATCTCTTGATTTCAGGAAAATTATATCAACTATAGGCCAAGTTCAGTTGGTAAGGATGATAATGGAATGAAAAGAATGAACTTCCTTGCCCGGGCTGCTGAGTCCATTGGGGATGGTGATATTGTTAATGTTCAGATTCGAAGATACAGGCAGTGGCAGCTCTCTCAGATTGGTTCGCTTGCATCTAGTATAATTCCGTAGGTTTTCTACTCTTGATCCTCAAACTCATTATCATTATTTCTCTGATGGTGCTAATGGCTATGCATTTCATGATGAACCAGTGCGGCTCTTTTGCACGGTCAACGCGAAATACTTGAGCAGGTGTTATCATCGTCACTTCTTTCCACATTTTAGCTTCCGTTATTATCCTAGCTAATTATCTAATGTCTAACGTTATTATCCTATCTAATCATCTAATGTCTAACTTCGTTTCCTAGTGTGATATGTTCTGCTATTAGCTACATCTTTCTTAGGAGCTTATCGTTATACAGTAGATATAGTTTTTGTTCTTCATTCATCTATAACTCCATTCAATGCAAATTCCACACAAATTCACTGTGGCTCGAAATAATTGTGAGATTTATTCTGTTTATCCGTAAATTTCAATCTTTGAACTTGAGCCAAGTGTTTATTTTGTTGCATGCTGTTAAGCGTTGAGAAATTGGAAACGTGGTTAAAATTTCCAAGTGTATATCTTTCATGTGAACCGTTTCTAGGACAGTATCCTGTGACTCAAACCAGCAGATAGTCGAGTTCATAAATTTCTGTTCCAACAGATGGTTTGATTTTCTCAGGGGGAGCGGAATTACAATAGATTTGGGGGTTGGCTAGGTAAAAACTCCACAATGAGTAAAAATTACAGACTTTTGGAGGACCTTCATGTTCATATGCTTGCTTCTCGGGAATCTAATTCTGGAAGGTTTTTATTTAGGCTCTCTTTCTCATTTTGATACATACAATATCACAAATATTACATGTATCTAATTTCAACCCCGTATCATATACCAATACGCCATTTATCTGTGCACTACATTCTCTTCGGCAGGTCAACATTGCGCCTTGAGTATCTTTCTGTTCTTCTGAAGCGGTTAACTAATCCTTTAAGAGAGCTGCCAAAGGTCGATATTTTTATTGAAAGTACTTTTCAGTCCTAAAGTGTCATTTCTACATCTATTTTAGTTCCACAAGAAATTGGTTGCAAGAATATATCAATCTTTAATAATTTTAATTCTGTAACTTCTGATTCTGTGGCCATTTATTTATATTTTTTTAAAGCAAAAAGGGAGAACAAATAATGTGTGGATTCATGCACACGCTTGTCAATCTCAGCCCTTACAAATATTGGACTAAACTTGCTAAAATTTGTCATACAAGTACTACTAAATTGAAAATGTTTGAGTTAGAATTAAAATCTGCTATATATAGAAATTGAGACATTTTGGATTTAAAGTACATTATTTGCTGCTAATGCTTGGTACGATTCCCCCTTTTTTGGCTGAACATTCCTTGATATTTTTATGAACTCTTAGGATGAAGCTGTTGAGAAAGTTGTGGAGTTTATGGATTTATACTCCATCAGCATGGAGGACTTTGATACCATGATGGATATATCAAAATTTAAGGTTGCATTCGAGGACATATTGTTACCCAATATCTTAAATAATATTTACAGACCGACTGACAAATTGTGCCCTTCATCAGGGGCATCCAAATCCACTCGATGGCATACCACCTGCCACAAAAGCAGCACTCACAAGAGCTTATAACAAAGGCAGCTCATCCCGTGTGGTTCGAGCTGCAGATTTAATTACACTCCCTGGAATTAAAAAGGCTCCGAAGAAGAGAGTTGCTGCAATGCTGGAACCTGTGGAAGGCGCTGATGAAATTGGCGAAAATGAAGAAGAAATCCTCTCAGATGCCGAGGACCAAGGTATGTCGATCCCCATTATTTAAGCAACATGTTTTAAGGCACTGCTTAGAAAACATTGAAAGAAAAGAAAGTATTACTCTGTCTAATTAACTTGCCTGTGGTTTTAGAGGATGAATCAGAGGATCCTGAAAAGAAGCTGCAATCTGATCTGGAGAATCTCAATTCAAAAGGTCAGTATATCTTCCTCCATTTCAGCTTGAATTCGGGAATCTAGATTCGGCATTATTAATCTGTGATCAAGTTTTTGTGCTTGTAGGAATCAAAGTGCAAATGGATTTAAAGAAGGGGTCCTCTGGCGGCAGTGGCAAAAAGGCGCCAGCAGGCCGTGGCAGAGGTGCTGCTGCCGCAGGGACATCCTCGGACGGGAAAGGGAAAGGGGGCCGTGGCTCTGGATCAGCAGCCTCTAAGCGAAAGAGATGAGACGAACAGAACGAATCCACCCCCACCCTAATCTAATGGGCTGCTCTTCTTGTTTTGGTGTTTTTAAGGTTTGAGTATTTGCAAGAAGTTGTGATGGTGTTTTGCTGGAGCTCTGTATAAATACAGAGATAATTTACAATACTTTACTAGTTGTCAAGACAGGAGCTTTACTTGTTTTTGAGGTATTATTGAAATTTGAATATATCTAAGACTAATTTTTATTTTGACATTTTTGGAATTTTTTATTGTTTACATTTATTTTTTAAAAACATTATGTTAAATGTATTTTTTTATAAAATATGTTAAAAATATGTTATTAAATACATTTTTATTTTTTATTTTTTAAAGTAGGGATTTGGTTTTAAATTTATTAAAAAATTAATAAAAAGAAATATTGGATTAAAGAATAATGGTATTTGATAGATTAGTAAAAATGTATAAAAAATAATTTTGATATTTTTGTTTTTTGAATATAAAAAAAATATATGTTTTTTAAAAATATTAAAAATATTTTAATATTAATATTGATTATTTTTACTATATTAAAATTGAGTATTTTTTTTTTGAAAGGCAGAACAAAAACAATACTCACATTTAATATTAAAATAAAATATTATAAAATTTATTACATAATTTATAAATAAAGTAGTGAATGATTAAATAATAGTAATAAATTAATTATTATATATTAAAATAATATAATAAAATTATTTATTATAAAAGTAATTATGAACGACTAAAAAAAATACTCCTTTCGTTTCACATATTTTGTCTCTATTTTCTATTTTCGTCTGTACCACATAATTTGTCCATTCTTTTTTTTGGAAATATAATTATACACTTTAATTTCATTTTAAATTTTAAATTTTATAATTTTTTTAAATATTAATTAAATTATTTAGTTATCTTAATTTTAATCTACAATTATTTTTATTATACCGATAATTATTTTTACTAATACACTTTTTAATTACTTACTAATCACAATTTACCTAAATTTTCGTATATACGGTAATAGGCCGATAATACACGGAGGGAGTACGTTAAGTAATAAACGGCGTCGTATATCTCGTGGGAGTGAAGTGAACCGGTACATTTTATTTATTATTTTAACGAAAAAATAAAAAGTACTCCGTAAATGAATGGGTCTGTGATGTGATTATCAATTATCATCGGCGCCTCCATAGTTCTCTGTGCTGTGCACGATCTCGATTCAAACCTCACAAATTCAATCGTCTCTGCAAAAGATGACCAGCGAAACCCAGGAATCGAAATCCTTCTTCAGAAGGCATTGGGAGGAATACAAGGAATTCTGGGGTGAAAGATTCTCCGTTGTCGATACCTACAAGAGATTACTTTACCCCGATAAGCCTGTGCCCCACTGGGACAGCTCCGATGTCGAACGATTTATTGCATCTGATCCCGTCCATGGACCTGCGGTCTGTTCTCTTTTCCTCTCTCCTCTCTTTCACCGATTATCTCCCATTTATCGCTGTCTTGCTTATTATGTAAGAGTTTTTGCCCCATCACGAGATTGTGATTTGTGCCCTAGCTTTTTAGTTGCGTTGCGAACGGAACAAATTTTGCCTGCCGTATCATATAACTTAGCAGATCTATGTACAGTTTTGATTGAAAACGCTTCGCCAGCTCAACTGATAAATTATGGTAGATTATAATGGTGAGAATAGGTTTTCTCAATAGCTCCTGTTCGATTATCACTATTGGATCACTTGAAGAAGGGGGCATGACAAATCTCGATCATCAACTCCTGAAATGAATTTTATGCTGTTTGAATGCATTCTGGTTTCAATAAATCTGAAATTCTGAGTTTGTTTCTTGAGTTAAACTGAGTGATTCCTTTTACCTAGATTGTTTTCATCTTCATCTTGGGGCCCTTGTGTAGAATCAATTCCAATCTTCTTCTGTCGTTTCAGCTGAAGAGAGCAAGGGAATCTGCTAAATTTGGAGTTGTGGGTGCTGCTGTTGGAGCTGTTTCTACGGCAGGATGGTCTTATAGGTGGTCCCGAAGTCTTCACGGTATGACTATGATATATGAACTTTGTGCTTAATTGCTTACGTGCAAATACAGAATTTAGAGATGAGTTTTCGTAAATGCATTCTGTTTAACTTGATCAATGAGTTTCTTCACATATGTGTAGATTTATATATTAGCTCATCCCATGTGCCGCTGCTTCAACACTTTGTCGCTGAACAGTTACAAAAGTAAAAAAAATAATAATTAAGATTGAAATTGCTATCTTACCATCCTAAACCGAATTGCTTTCATCTCAAGATATACACTTGTTATCTGAAGCATAATCCTCAAACATAACATTTCTGCCATAATCTTATTCTTATTGGGTTTCTCATCTTGCTTAGGTGTGAGAAATTATACTCATTGTTTTAGATAATAGTGTGATTCTACCTTTTGTCATTTATACAAAAAAAACGATTAGAAGCACTTTGAGCATGTATTGCAATATTAACTGTATAAGCATTGTGTGCGAAGAAACATTCCTCTGGTCAAAGCATAATGGTGTGCAACGGCCTACAAAATCATAACATGAGCAACTGTTCCTTAGAGTAACATTTGAATTAAACCTCAAATTGAGTAAGAACTGCATTTTAAAATTATACCGGGGCTTAATTTTATATATATATATATATATATGTTGTTAAGGTCATATGATAAAAACTGAACTCGGGTACGCTGTTGAGCTTTTGAGAAATTCTAATAGAAATTATTTTGGACGGATCGGGGAGCTTCTTTATGCGGTTCTTATTGTTTTACAGGATCTGCAATGTCTTTTGCCTTTGGGGCTGTCGTTGGTGGAACATTTGGACTTGAAATCGCGAATCACTGGTACCAGCTGTACAGACTGGATACAATGGCTGCTCAAGTTAAATTCTTCGAGTGGCTGCAGGACAGAGCTTGATGGTTGAACTTGATCGCGTGAAAAGTGCTTGAGGTCAGTCGTAAATCTGGCTACAATGAAAGAATAATAGATATGCATCATCAAGAATAATGCGCTAATAAACAAACAAACACTATTGATTATGAAATTTCGATCCCGACTGTCTAGGTGACTTGCCTTTCTTATTTTTCTTTCTGGTTGTTTTTGTTGGCAATGAGGCTTTGTCTGTTTTATCCCTAGCAATAGTTAATGATGAAAGATTTGCAAATGATTTCTTGATAGTTTTGTGAGGTTATTTTTTCTGACTCACTTAATCTATATGCTATTTTGGAATTACATTTCATTTTTTCTACAGGGCAAGAAAAAATGATCATAATGTTCAACAGAACTATTGAAGCAAATGAAATATTCTTGCTCTGGCGAAATGATTATGATGTTGTTCTAAAAGACCCATTGGTATATCCAGAAGCTGATTTAGAAATAGCACTTTGTTTATTGCTATTATTATTGAAAAAAGAAAAAATGAAATAAAATTCAATATTTATATGTATAAAATGGAATATTAATAGTCTAAACAAACGGACCGGTAAGCCTATGTTCTTCCAAAGCTTAATATTTCTAACTACTTGTACATGTGGGCCTGTTTATGTATATATTTTTATTATTATTTATAATGTTATGTTTAATTATTATTTTACTTTAAAGTATAATAATAATAATAAAATCCGAAATAAACAAACGGGTGTTGGACTAGAATATCTCATTTGTGTTAAGAGGTTCAATTTGATTATTTATTTATTATTATTATTATTATTATTAAAAGAACATGATATTATTATATTTATATTAATTTTCACTAGGTCGAAATGGTGATGTATTTCCCCAATTGATTTCAAATTCATTCTTCAAATAAAATAAATACTCAAAGGGTATATTTGAATTCATATACTCGTATTCTATTAATTAAAATATACCATCAAGTGTCAAATCCACCCAACAAAATGTAGCTCGTCTTAAAATTTTTCATTTATCTTCTTCTTCTTTTTATTATTATTATTTTAACGGATGAAGTGAATTTATGTAGCTAGAATTGAGATAACATACATAATACTAATTTTGAAAGAATTATAAACCTATAGAAAGGCGGAGGCATGATTAGTGATTCTTATACAGATTAAATTTAATTTTTTTATAGAAAATAAATATATTATTATTATTGGAAATAATAAAAATATATAATAAGCAATTTACAAAGATCATAGGCATTGAAAAGGTGTTGGAGAATAAGCATTTTTAAAAACATATGTACCTCGGCATTTTACAACAATTTTTTTTATTCTATTTTTTATTTTTTAATTTCGCTTAAACACCAACCCTCCTATACATATATTTCTATTACATTATTTTATTAATTATTTTAATTTCTGTTGTAATTTATGAATTTACTATTATAAATTTAAGTAATTAAAATCAATAATTATTTTACATGTAAATTATTTGATTCGTAAAATATCAAAATTTATTTTAAAAAATTAAGGTAAACTGGAAAGCAATAAATATATTGAAATTTTGTTTTGCTCGTATTTTTGTACTTTCACTTATGAAAAAAATAAATGTATATTCAAATGCACATCGAAGATAAACATATGGAGTAATATATATGGCTAGAATTAAATTGTACATAATTAAAGAAGTGAATGTGCATTTTTTCTAAATAAATGATTATATAATACGATCTTAATTAAATATTCTTTTTTTCATAGGTTATATATATATATATATTTTTTATGTGGAGAGTATAAAAAACTAGTATCCGTTCTTAATTTTGAATGTAAAAACTAAAAATATGTAAAATACATATCTTTAAGAAAAAATTTAGTAAATAAAAAAATATATATATATATATATCGGGAAAAATAATAATAATAATAATAATCCAATAGGGCCTGCGCGGCTTTACATAGCTCTCGTCACCCCCAAATACGTTCTCGCATCCTATACGACTCTCACATATATTAGAAATGGCATATGAAATGTCAAACAAACAGACCCTAAATTCCCAAACTATATGGGAGAAGGCAATGATCGTCTCTTCCAATAATATATATATATATATATATACATACATATATACATTATTTATTTATTTATTTGGAAGTTTCGAGAAATGATGATATAAATATTATGAGAATTAAGAAGGCGAATCATCGCATCCAAACGCGGCCTTAAGAAACCGTCTCGCCCTGCACCGAATCGCTTCTGAAAAACCCTAAGCTACCGAACCGCTCCAGCATTTCCTTATCCCAATCGACGACGACGTCGTTTCCTCTTAGGAGCTCCTCCTCCACCACCAGCCGCCCTCCCCCGCCGCTCTCCGCCGATCCTTCCTTCTTCACCTCCAAAGCAATATTCCTCTTCTTCCTTCCCTTCCACAGGCTCCTCGGAATGCGATACACCGCCATGAGCACGACGTGCATCACAGCGCAAGGACAGCAGCAGCACACCGCCGCGCACTCCCCCGTCGCCTCCCCTATCCTGCTCCGCCGCCGGCTCCCGATCTGCCTCCGCATCACCGACGACGGCGATTTCTGCGACGCCTCGGCACCGATCTCCTCCGCCATCTCCAGGTAACCGATTTATTTAATTTCTTCGAATGTATCGAATCGCAGCGGATGATTAGATTAGATTAAAAAACACAAAAATCAAAATGAGAAAATCGAATAGATACCAGAAAATCTGAATGCGAGAAATTAGATTTTGAAACACGAATTTCAGGCGATAAACTTGAGGATTTATTGTGGAGTTGACTCCCTCCCTCAGATTATTAAAATCAATTTATCAGAGTTACTGTGTCTTATTAACTTGTTTATTTGATGAGAACATTCACTTTCACATTAATTAATTCAAAATTACACCTAACGCCTTTTCCCTCCAAATTCATTTTAAGTATAAAATTTATCAACTTACCTAAAAAAATAAATAAACTTATTCAATGAATCTATAAAATGAAGATTTGAATTTACTAGTCATTTTATAACAATGTCTGTATTACCTATAATATTAAATACAATGAAATTCTACATTGTGTATATTTGTAAATTAATTACAATTTATATAATTACGTAGCTATTATAATGTTTGGATCACATCTATGGTATTATTTGTGTGTTTTTTTTTTAAAAAAATAGATATACTAATGAAGAAATATATACTATATTTTTGTAAACAATTTACATTTCAATGCAACGTTCATATGGTAAATAATAATAATAATAATAATAATAATAATTTCAAGATACTACACAAAACATCATGTATTATTATTTTTAAAACAATAATATATTTATATGTAATATACACTAACTAATATTTCACTGAAAAATATTGTTGAGTGGATTAATATTTCGTACATAATTTAAGAATTTTACTTTAGTAAATATTACAGGTTTTAACTATTGAAAATGATTTCATCAAAAAATTGTACGAGATATATTTGGTGTTGTTATCTTTAATATTATTTTGGTGTAATTCATAATAAGATATTTTTTCCCTGTTGAAACATTTATAAAAAAAATATATATGTATATCACACTAAATATTATTCCTAAACATGTATTCGTTATATCGAGATTTTACTTTCTTTCTTTTTTTTTAAAATTTATAATTTAAAATAATAATTCAAATGATGAAAATCTCAAACAAGCACTCGTTATTGTATAATTAAAAGAATCATAATCATAAATGAATGGGCATTAAAGCAGCGGTTGACCAAAGAAGGTAGACCGAGTTGAGTGGTCAACACGTCACCATCGCAAATAAGGTGAGAGTGCCACTCCATTAAGTTCGAAGTCGCGCTTTGATCTAACACGTTTTTCTTTTAATATTAGTTACTCTTCCTCCTCCCCTGACTTCTGTAAAAGTACAGATTATCCACTGAACGTCTCTTAATAATACTTTATTTATAACATAATCGTTACGTATCCACTAAATTAGTAAATTTCGTGATTAGGAAGGCGTGTTACAAATAGAACCTGTGTTTATTTGTGTATTTATTTTATTTTTTTTATATATATTTAAATTTATTAAAATTATTCTAGAACATAATTATTTTTATTTTAAAATTTGTAAAATTCAAAATAAAACCAAAATATTGGTGCTCTTTTGTTTTTTTTTTTTTTTTAGTTTGGTTTTGTTTTGTTTTTTTAACATTAGTTTATTTGTGATTGTTCTATTCTGAATTCAGATTTTCTTTCCGAACACCATCTATAAGAAGAGTCGATGAAGTTCCCTAATGTACTTCAAGAAAACCTATAGAATATATATATATATAGATGTGTCATCTTCTAGTTGTATGATGTATCACATTCGTTTTTCTATGGCCCTTGTCAAAATAACTCTGCATCCTAACCGTTCCTTGTCGTGGATCTATAGAACATCATTATTCATGGGACAAAATTGATATAATATGTGGCCGTTGGATCTTTTTCAATCATTCGATTGTGGTTAGTGATAAAGCCTAGCACAACATGCCCTTTTATTACTTTTAAAGGGACTTATGTCAATGTAAAATGTATTAATATGATCATCCATTTCAAAAGTCAATCTTTTAAGAATGAAGCAATTAAATAAAGTCTTAACAATGTTGATGTTAAGAATCATAATAGTTTTCCAAGGCAAGATGTAATGTTTCAATTTTGTATACCTACACAACGCAGTAATATTGTTTTTTAATATGAGAATATTTAATTTTAGAATTATTCAATATTTTGCTAAGACAATATACAGATTAATCAGTGTTGTCGTATACATTTTGATCTAATAAGGATTCAATAATATTCTTTGTAGTCAAAATGTATAATTTTAGCGGCTTCTTATCTTGAGGTGGGGTGGGGATGTGAGGTGATAACAACACTTTTTTATGTCTTCAAAGACTTATTGTTATTCACGATCCTAAGTTAGTATTTGTCTTTTTAAGTCAGCAAAAATTTGGTGAAAATTTTCATTTTCTTGCAAAATTAGATATAAAAAGGTAGAAGAAGTTAATTTTGCTAACAAAGATTGCATTTACTTTATATTCTTTGGTTGGCTAGTTTCGCATATCACTTTGGTTTTATTTTTGTTTATTTCAATGCCATATTAATAGATCAAGAATCCGAAAAAATTCCGAGAAATGACTAATGCACATTTAGCTAGGTTTATTTTAAAATTGTTATGCATATACTCAAATTTTCTTTTTTTTTAGATTTCCAACGTTTTTTTTTTTAATAAAAGAAAAAATATTTTTTTTGGACTGAATTACAATTAATGTTATCACTTGATTATAGCCAAAAAAAAAAAAAAAACTTATAAATTTCTACTTGTTTAAGTCCACTTCATTAATGGACGGATGTAAAAAATACATTGCACAATGCTTTAAATTAAAACAATCTATTCTTTAATATATATATATATATATATATTTGTTAAAAAATAAGAGAGATACTGAAAAAAAATTGAAAACAAAGCTTTAAGAAAGGCTTTGCTTGCACCAGTCTGACTCTCGGGAGTGTCGATTTTTTGGTTCGAACTTTTAAACCATTGCGTAAGAGGAATTTCGAATATCAGACCAAATTGCCTCTATGGCAAAATGAAAACCTTGTAAAAATAAGTCCTTGATGATGCTTGACAAAGGGAAATAGAGACTGAGCAATCACAATGCCTATTCATACAAAAATAAAAAATAAAATTATGTATTTATCCTAAGAATATGTGCAATGGTTGAAGCCTTAAAAAAGCCTCATGGGCCGTGGCTGATGTGTCCAGCTTTGAAGTGAAAGCAGCCCATTTATTGCATAACAGTTTTAAACAATTGATGATTTTTGCTTCCTTCTGGCCTTGCCTTTGTTGCACTCAAGTTTATGTATTAAAAAAGCTTTGACATTTGTATCACTGTATATTTATTTTTTATTCTAGCCTGTATTTGAAGTGAGAAAGCCATACCTCTAATCTATCATTGCATATGCTCTTACTCAGTCTCCACCAAGCTTTCTTGCCATGTCTAGGTTTATTTGCCTTTTATTGAATATTTATCTTTTGAAACTTTAATAAGAAAAACTCTCTATTTTTTTATACTAGAGCTACTGTGTTTGCTCCAAGTCAGAAGGTAGACGACGTTGGGGAGAATAAAATAGTCGCCTCAAGTTTGAATAGCAATGATGGAGGCGATGAGCAAATTACCCAATAAAAAAAGATATTAACTAAAATTACATATTTACCCTTATTTTAATAGCACTGTGATCCATACCATGCCCCTCTGTTATTCTTGTTCCCTTATCTCCGCTAAAAATGGTGTCTTTAGCAGAGTTTGGGGCAAATATACAGTCGATTTGTTGTCAACACATTCTCAATTAACTTTGTCCTAACAAGAGAAAAAAAGACTCGAAGAGGGTTCGGTTCCCATGTAAAAATAAATAAAAAGAAAAGACTTGTCGTACAATCTTCTTAACCAAATCCCTCTTGGCTTTTCTCTAGTGTTTCTTTTCGCTTCCAACCCTCAAGAATTTTCATCAATTTTGGCCCCAACTAGGCCAAGACAAAAAAAACGGTTTTTGGTCTCTTCCCAAAAGACTCCATTCCAATTTCGATACCGGAATGCAAGAACTCCTATTGCTTAAAGTTTGCCTGCGTCTGCTCAATTTTTCTTGTCCTATTCTGCAGTTAAAGGAATTCTGAAACCCTAATTTCTCACCCATTCATCTTTTCTTGTCGTTCATCGCAAGATGAGATTCCCCTGAAAAAGCGTGATGTTTCGGAGCCCACCTTGAACTAGCCCTTCTTCCCAACAACCCTAAAGATATATGATTTTCAGCTTTAGATTTTTCTATCTGCTACTGCATTCACTACAATTGGTTTAGAATTAACTTCAGTTCTATTCCAAATCAATGTCGGAGGATTTGATTCTACATCTATCCTCCAATTCGTCGAACCAATCGGATCAGTCGTCAAAAATTGCAAAACTTGAGGCCAGATTGGTGGGCAAGATGTCGTCTACAGTTGCAGCTCAGGCGCAGCTGAATTCATGGTCCGGGACCGCCAAATTTGGAGGGGCTGAAGAAGTTCTGCCTGAGTCTCTGGTGGATAGTGATGATTCTGATGATGATGATGTGAGTATATAGATTACCATGGCAGATATTCTTCCTTTATTTGTTTTTTATTTAAGTCATTTCAAATTTGTAGTGTTGCTCCATCAAAGTGTGTTCTTCAATTAGATGTGTAATTCAAAAGAGCATGCACTTTCAGATTTCCTTACTTTCCATGGCATGATTTTGAGAATGCATATGCATTTGCAGATCGTTGGGCATAGTTCATTTTTTCAGGAGTGCTTGATTTAGTTTCTTAATATATTTCTTTCATGAAACCTGAGTTTCTATAATTCATCTCTTCACATGTCTTCGTTTATTCTCAAGTCTACGTTCCTTTACATGTGCATTAGAATGGTGGAGCCTTTCTTATTCAAGCAAACAGTCAAAAGCGACGAAAGGTTGAAGAAAATAATCACACTGCTGTTTTTGAACGTAATGAGGTAAAAACATGCTTTGCCTTTGACTTGGTATTATCACCAAATGTCTAAACATTTTGTTAAATTTTTTATTAAAATTATTATTTCCATATTTTATGCTGAGAGTGTACATCCAAGTTGTTCAGGGGGTATAATATCTTCAGGAAATATACGACAGGTTACAGCTGATGGAGGGCAAAAGATATTGGAGAAGGAAGACTCCAATAAGAGCAGAACTGATGTCAATAGAAGAAAACAAGGGCGTGGTAGGGGAAATTCCACCTCAGGTAGAGGTCGCGGCCAGCGTGCTTCTGATCAAATGATGTCCTCATCCAACGGACAGGTTGAAAATTCACTCCAAAAGGTGCGTCTGTCATGGTCGTTGCCTCATATATTACATATATATGTATATTAATTCTCTTGTTTCTTTTGTTGGTTTGCTGCTGAAAACACATGTGTTCATTTTTTAATTTAATTTACTTCGCTTCCTTGTCTAAAAACATATCATTAACTATGTATTTGACTCCGATACACATTAATGCACAGGACATTATATCTGTCATATGTGTTTTGTGGCTTCCTTATGTTTAGTGACTGTTGCATAGATTAATAAGTTAGTTTTATTAATATAGCCTTGGTGCCATCCCGTGCCATATGCTGTAGACAACTCTGATATCATATATATGATAGTTGGTTTGATAGTTCCTCCAATTTTCTGTATGAATTAGGATGAAGCAGCATCCTTGCGTGCCAAAGTTGCTACACTGGAAGAAGAGCTTAAGGAGGCCTCTGATTATCGTAGTAAATGTGAACATCTAGAAAAGGTATTATGTTTCTTTTTTTCTATTTGGACTTGTTAATAGTAGGCTAATAGAAGTTGGTATATCTTTATAAGTACTGTTATGTAACATTTTTCGAGGAAGATCTTCAGAACCTCATTTTCATTAAGTTGCATATTTTTCTACTTGAGTAGGAGCTCAAAGAGTTGAAAGATCATGAACAACAAATGAAGCCAAAGGTTTGCCTTTTGCAGTTTGCTTTCCTTCTATTGATTTCGTTTGGTTACATTTTCAGGCATGATACTATATTTATTATTCTTTTGATGCAGAGAGTGAAAGTGATATCTGATTTATTAATATCTGTATCAAAAGCTGAGAGGCAAGAAGCTAGAATGAAAGTGCGGCAGGATTCCTTGAGACTTGGCACTGTGGGAGTACTGAGGTATGCCAAGCAATTTCACTTTCACGTTAGTTTTTCCCACAAATGAATTGGGTTGAATCTGTTGGCTTTGTTAGGTCATTTCTGCAGTTGCATGGTATTCAGCTTCATATATATATATATATATTTAGTGCTTGTGTAGTGTGTTGCTTATGCGACTATGGCGATCATGTATAATTTATTTTGTCCAGTATTTTACTGCAAATGAACTGTGAATGCTGATTTTAATATTTTTACCTGTAGTGGCATAAGGTGTGTCTTGGGGACAAAGGCTAGTTAAAAGTCTGGAATTATGTTTTTGTCAGTGTAATATAGTATCATTCCTAGCATTTTCTATGCCATATTTTTCCTGAACAAAAACTAATGTTGCTTGTACAAAATGTTTTCATTATTCTGAGTTCATACTTCATGGGGTGAAAATATTATTTTATGAATAGGTTCTGCTGGTATTGTGAAATTTCCCTTTCTGCAGTTCTCTATCATATGACATTCTGTATGTTGTGGGATTAATTACATGGATTTATAGGTAAAAGCTTGATGTGGATTCGGCTTTTTTCATTTTCGAATTCTTAAGAACTTTTGATTGGCCTTGTTACATTTGCAGCCACGATCTAAATGGCAATTGGATTAGTTATGATCCAGGTTTTAAAGAAAATGGTTTCAATGTTGATTTTTGGGCATATATATTTTTTAAAAAAATTGATAGAAATTCGAAGGTTATCGGAAATTATGTTTTGAATTTATAGAAGTTACAGATCATTATGACATTATCCCGTATATTGATTTATGTTTAACCCCTCTTCAAACAATGCAAGCATAAAATCTCATAGCCATTTGTTCTTCAATGAATTTTGATAGAGCTGGAACAGTCATATCTGAGGCATGGGAGGAAGGACAAGCACTAAAGGATATCAATGCTCAACTTGTATGGCTCCTCTATATAACTTTATCTGTTTCGATTATCTGTATTTCTATATTTGTTGTCTGTCGCACACTTCTCCATGTACCTGCATGATCTTTAAACCATCAAGTTACAGAGAAGTTCTACTTCATATATGCCATTGATCTTAATGTCGTACTTAAGTTCCTGAAAACACTAAATTGGTTTTTATGATATTATATATTGAACTCTCACTGTTTCTGTTTTTTCCCAAGAGTTAGTGAATGACGTAAATTGCTTTTTTCCATGAACTTAACCCACACGAGAACTTTGATTGATGTATACATGCATTAGCTTATAGTGCCTCCTCCTTTCCATCTTTTATTGCTCTTTACGAATTCCAGCTACCATTTTCTTGTGTTGTCCTAACCTATTCATTTTGTTCAGAAAAGTTTGTTAGAATTGAAAGAGGCAGTCGAAAGGCTGAGAAAGTCTCTGAAGAAACGCCAATCAGGTAAATGCTTCAATTATATCTTTGTATGTCTCTTCTATGCTCTTGCTGATCTGTAGCCATTACAACTTTATGAAAGGACCATCGCCTGCACGTGAGGAGGCATGTTTGCAGAATTAGATATACAATAATATAAAACTCACACACTTCCTGAATTCATTTCAATGAGTTTTTAACATGATCTTATCTATTATCTAGTAGATCTTCAAATTGTGCTGTATCTGAACTATCTTGTTGCTTTTGGGAGAAGGAAATCATGTGCTTTCATTTTTAATCTAGGAGTACAATAATCATTCTTTAATAATTCTAATTCCAAAATATATCAGCTGTCTCTTATTTTATTGTTTCCACAGTTACAATGATTTCTAATTGCTGTTTGCGTCCTCGCAGATAAGTCTGATGTTGCTGAAACAGAGGGTGGGCTTACGGAAGCAGACATTCTCATACAAGATGAAATATATAGATCTCGTCTAGCCAGTATCAAGCGTGTAAGTTTTCCTCTTTAAGTTATCCTTTTCTGTAATTAGGTGTGTTACATATGTGGCTACTATGTTGTTCTTCAGGAGGAGGAAATACTAGTACGTGAAAGAGACCGTTATGAATTGGAGAAAGGGAGGCTTATACGTGAAATGAAGCGCATAAGGGACGAGGATGGCTCACGCTTCAACAATTTTCAAATATTGAATCACCGTTATGCTCTTCTAAACCTTCTCGGCAAAGGAGGATTTAGTGAGGTTTATAAGGTCAGCTCTTTAGGATTATGCCTTGAGTATCGGATTTTTACTTTTTGTGATATATTGTCGAAATATGTTTCAGGCTTTTGATTTGGTCGAACATAGATATGTTGCCTGTAAGCTTCATGGTTTGAATGCTCAGTGGAGTGAAGAGAAAAAGCAAAGCTACATACGTCACGCAATCAGGGAATATAACATTCACAAGACGTTGGTTCACCATCACATCGTCCGGCTTTGGGACATTTTTGAGATCGATCAGAACACGTTTTGCACCGTTTTGGAATATTGCAGTGGTATGTATGGTTCAAGAAGGGCAAGATGATTTTTTCGCCGTTGCGAATTAATTACACTGTGCCTGTCTGCAGGCAAGGATCTCGATGCAGTCCTTAAAGCAACACCGATCCTGCCAGAAAGGGAGGCGAAGATCATCATCATCCAGATTTTCCAAGGCCTTGTTTATTTGAATAAGAGGTCACAAAAGATTATTCATTACGACTTGAAACCTGGGAATGTTTTATTTGATGAATACGGTGTTGCTAAAGTCACAGATTTTGGTCTTAGCAAGATCGTGGAGGAGGATGTCGGCTCTCAGATGGAACTTACATCCCAGGGCGCCGGAACATACTGGTGAGTTCTCGACTTTATCCATTATTTACTCAAACTATTTAATTTCTTTCAGATTTTCTTTCGTCTATCTGCATATTTATGAATTGTATCTTGCAAGAAAATTTCAGGTACCTGCCTCCCGAATGCTTCGAGCTGAGCAGGACTCCTCTCATATCCTCAAAGGTTGGTAATGTCCAAGATTGTCTGGCCTCTTTTCAGCATTTGATCGATATCCACTTTGTGTTGCCATTTGGTCTGCAGGTTGATGTTTGGTCTTTGGGAATATTATTGTACCAAATGCTCTTCGGCAGACGGCCATTCGGACATGACCAAACGCAGGAGAGAATCTTGCGGGAAGATACCATCATCAAAGCCCGGAAAGTAGAATTCCCTACGAGACCCTCCGTATCGAACGAGGCAAAAGTAAGTTCTTCAGTCGCGACAATATCCTTATCACATGTCCTCCATTTTTTCATATTCAACTCGATCCATGCGTGGCTGCAGGAATTCATTCGTCGCTGCTTGACGTATAACCAAATGGAGAGACCTGACGTTCTGACCGTCGGTCAAGACCCATACCTCAACTACGCCAAGAAATGACGACGACGATGACGGTGACACCGGAGAAATTCGAAACTCTGCAGCTGCAGCATAAAGAGTAGAAATCGTGGGGCCATTTTTGTATGTCTTTAAACTATTACAAAAACAAAAACACAATTTCTTTGAAAAAGAAAAGGGGGAAAGAATGAATTGAGCTGAGCTAACAAAACTACCCAAAATCAGTTTATTAAATAGGACAGATTATATATATTTGGTTTGCATTATGATCGCAATGTTGATTTTAAGGAAAATTAATTTTAACATAATTGAATTTTGCAAAAACCAATTTTAGGGGGCGAGGGGTTAAGATCATTTCCAACCGATTTATCTATTTTTGCAGGGTGGAGAGAAAATAACTGCTTCAACCCACCCTGCAATTTTGCAAAATTTACCTGCTGGAATCAGCGGGTAGCACCCGACTCAGCTGGTGCTACAGTCGGGTGCTACCCGCTGATTCCAGTAGATGCAATTTTCTTTTTTATTTTAATATAATTATCTATTTTTTTTAATATTATCTATTTATTTATGTAGTTATCTATTTTTTTATATTTATTTAATTTTTAATTTTTTAAATATCATCAACAAAATAAAAAATTGTATTAATTTTTTTATTTTATTTATATTTTATTTATTTTAAAACATATTTTATTTTGTTTTAAGCTTATATCTTATATATTTTATTTTATTTTATTTTTGTTACTTTTAATTTTATTATTGTTTATTATAATTTTGTAATTAATATTTACAGTAAATTATTTATTTATTTAATATTTATTAAAATTTATAATTAATTGATTATGGTAAAATAATTATAAATTATATATATTAAATTTAAAATATTATAATATTTATAAATATAATTTTTGGGTATAATATTTAAAATATTAATTAAAAATATTTTTATTATAATTTAAATGTATAAAAATAATAAAATATTAAATTTTATTTATAATTTTAAAAATGATATAAAATAAAATATAAAGAGAATTTTTTTTTAACTTTGAAAAAATGGAGGGTATAAGTAGAAAAGAGAGCTTGAAAAATAGAAGGTACGATTGAAAATTGTTTATGTAACAGACCTGGCAAAAATAAAGAAATGTATTATAGACATCGAAAATGAGTTATGGGTTGGAGATGGGTGCAGCGGTTGAGCGAGCAACTCTACAAAAACCCTAAACCCCTCAATTGGAAGATTACCCAAATTTCTCCTCCCCTCCATTGGAGCTGTTGCATCTGTCGATACATCATCAACTGTTTCAAGGAATCGGAGAAGCAATCCACTCGCCGACGATGCTCCGGTTTCGATTCCGATTCCCCGCCGTCTTCTCTAATCCAGCGCCATTAACGAGGTACTTCTCTTCATCTCTTCCTCCGGAATCGCCTTCCATTCCACACGGCGCCGTCGAGACGCTCTTCCGCATTATCACCACCACACACGACGCACAGTCGCTGAAAAATTCCCTCGCCGCATCTCAAATCCCATTCCCAATCTCGAAAGAATTGGCCGACGCAGTCCTGAAGCGCGTCCGCTTCTCCCATTCCAACCCGCTCTCCGCTTTGGAATTCTTCAGAATTGCTTCCAGGCAGAAATCGTTCTTCCACACCCCTTATTCTCTGGACACTATGCTATACGTTTTAGGCAGAAACCGCAAGTTCGATCTGATGTGGGAGCTTCTGCTGGAGACCAAGAGGAAGGATCCGTCGTCCATAACCCCAAGGACCGTACACGTAGTTTTGGGTAGAATTGCTAAAGTCTGTTCTGTTAGGGAGACCGTAGGATCATTCAAACGCTTCCGGAAACTCGTTTCCGAATTCGATGTCAGCTGTTACAATGCGTTGCTTAGAACATTATGTTTAGAGAAGAGCATGACTGATGCTAGGAATGTGTATCATTCCTTAAAGCACGAGTTTCATCCGAATTTGGAGACGTATAACATCTTGTTGTCGGGGTGGAAGTCGCCGGAGGAGGCGGAGGCCTTCTTCAATGAGATGGCCGATATGAGAGTTGAACCGGATATTGTGTCGTACAATTGCTTGGTCGACGTTTATTGTAAGGGTCGGGAGATGGAGAAGGCGAATAAGGTAGTGAGTAAAATGAGGGAGGAAGGGATCGATCCGGATGTGATCACTTACACTTCCATGATCGGAGGGCTAGGATTGATTGGGCAGCCGGATAAGGCTCGGGAGCTTTTGAAGGAGATGCGGGAGTACGGGTGTTATCCTGATGTTGCGGCATATAATGCTGTGATTCGGAATTTTTGTATAGCGAAGAGGCTAGGCGACGCGTATAATTTGTTGGAGGAGATGGCGGGGAAGGGTTTGCATCCGAATGCGACTACATATAATGCCATCCTTCGATCTTTGTATTGGAAAAACGATTTGGCGAGCTCGTGGGGATTGTATCGACGGATGAGGGAGACGGGATGCTTGCCGAACACACAGTCGTGCATGTTCTTGGTTAGGTTGATGAGGAGGCAGGAGGAGGTCGGGATGGCGCTCGAGTTGTGGGATGATATGATCGAGAAGGGGTTCGGGTCGTATGTTTTGGTTTCGGATGTGTTGTTCGGTTTGTTGTGTGATTTCGGGAAGTTGGATGAGGCGGAGCGATGCTTCTTGCAGATGGTCGAGAAGGGTCAGAAGCCGAGCATTGCGTCGTTTAGAAGAATCAAAGCTCTCATGGAGTTGACGAACAAGCCCGACGCTATCGCGAATTTGTTGGAGAAGATGTCAAGTTTGGGGTCGAGCGTAATCGCCAACGAGAATGAACTGGAAAGGCCGGTGGCGAATTTTATCGCACCGACAAAGTATGCAAGGAGGCAGCCACGGTGGCGGCATTGAGCCAAACCGGCAGCGTTGTCAATTTTCCGACAACAAGAAGAAGAATACAATTTTCCAATGTTGCTCATAGACAGAAATCAATTCAGAGGCCATTCTCAATCGTAATCCTCAGTTTTTCTACACACACATACGAATGAGCACAAAAATCTAACCTTCATCTGCATTTTTGAAGTGTTCTCAGTTCTCCTTTCTTGGCTCAGTCGTCAGACCGAATCCGAAGGCGAAAAGCGGGTCGTAATGTGGGTCGCCGACGTTCATTGGAAGCTGCTCCACAGATCTGAACCACGTCCTCGCAAGCTTTCCGGTAAATCCGTAGTCGCCGAACAGGGCATCGCTCACACCTTGGCCCTCTGTTCCCGGCAGCCATGCTGCCACGAGCGCATCCATGTCTGCTACATACGGCTCCATCACCACCGGCCGCCCTGAGACCACCACGACGACACACTTGACTGCGCCGCATACATTCTTGATGGTGCTCGGTCCGGGCTCGATTATGGTCAGATTCGTGCTGTCCCCGTACATCTCTGCGTACGGAACCTCGCCCACCACGACGATTGCGTAGGAGAATCCATTGCCCTTGACAAAGTTTGCATCGGGATTCTCTGCGTAGACGACTTGTGTCGATGGGTCGACTGTCTTCTTGATGCCACTCAAGATTGTTGTTCCTACAAAACAATACAAGTAAGCTCATATTTTGTAAGTAAACATATGGTGTTAGGACGGTGTTAGAAGCGCGTACCAACGGTAAGGTCGTTGCCGTGAACGCCTTGCCACTCTATCGTCCATCCTCCACATTGGTACCCCAAATTATCTGCATGGCTTCCGGCCACCAATATCTTCGGCGCTTTCTTTGGAAGTGGAAGTAATGGTTGATTAGCTACTTTCCCGTTCTTGAGAAGGACGAGCGATTTCCTCACGGCTTCCCTCGCCAATTCTCTGTGCTCCTATAGAAAGAATTGCAGTTTCGAGTTCACACAGAGGAGGAAGACGAATCTTGTCGTTGGTAACAACAGAAACCGATGAAGAAAGCAAACCTGGCTGCCGAGGTGGTTTGCGAGGCTGAGATCTGCCAAGGGATTCTCGAATAAGCCCATGACGAATTTGACTCTAAGTATTCTGTATACTGCGTCGTCGATTCTGCTCATGGGGATGAGCTTGTTCTTCACTTGGGCAGTCAAGCCATCAATGAACTCGTTGAAGTTCTCCGGGACCATAATCTGCGAGCGATGATGGGTTTCAAGGTGATTTCGAATCAAGTTTGGGTATAACTTAGATTAACCAAGATTTAAATCTACAAGCAATTGGGGGCGCGCTGCTAACCATGTCGATTCCTGCCATAACCCCGGCTTGAACTGAATAAGAGTAGTTCGAATGGGGGGGGCTCGTGATCCTATCAATGCCTTGCCAATCCGAAATGACGAAACCCTGCATCGGTAGGGTTTCAAATTAGTCGATAACATTTCTCGAAAATTTATTACCAGTTTCTGAATTATGTGCTATATATATATATATATACCCTGAACTTAAGTTTGTTCTTCAGATAACCGGTAACAAGATCGCGATTAGCATGCATCTTCTCACCATTCCAGCTCGAGTACGACACCATGACCGTGGCAACACCCTTTCTAACTGAATCAAGATATGCCGGCATATGAATGCTAATCAATCCTTTATAGTCGATCACGGTATTGTTCTCGTCAATTCCCCTCACCGTGCCTCCATCTCCAACAAAATGCTTGGCACATCCTGCAACTTTTGTCCTAGATAATATATGCAGAAAGAGCAGATTATCAGCAGAAGTCTTTCTACACTAAATTACATAACGGTTCAGAAAGAAGAAGTTGTTCATACTTTCCGGCTACAAAAGGAACGCCCTTGCGGGATTTAGCTGGGACGTCGCCCTGCAAGCCAGGAATAATCTCAGTCATTGCTTGGACAATCTTATGGTCCTCGCTATAGCTTTCGTAGCAGCGACCCCATCTCGGATCCCTGCAGACCTGTAAGAACCATCAAACTATTAGATGTCGACAAGGACTGCTACCCGAAATGGCAAGATTTGAAAGTTTTGCTTACGGCAATGCATGGAGCGAAGGCATAAGGAATCCCGGTCGCCCTAACTTCGAGTGCAGTGGCAGCTCCAATCCTCTTCACAAGGTCGGGATCTCTGCTTACATATTATCACACTGTTAATTATGCACGCACAAGCAGACTAAAATGCGAGTTATAGATTCTTTTGTTTAGATTCAATGTGTCGAATGCTTGCCTGGTGACGCCGAGCCCAACATTGTGCGGAAAAATAGTAGCCTGGTAGACATTGTTGTGGCCATGAACAGCATCAATGCCGTATATCATAGGGATTCCGAGGCGCGTAGAAAGCGAGCCCTTTTGAAGGTCGTTCACCATATTCACCCATGCCTCGGCTGAGGCCTTCGCCGCCGGCACACTCCCTCCTCCACTCAACACACTCCCTGTTCCAAATTTATCCATATATTCAAATTTATTTATAAAGTATCAAACAACTATTTCATATACTAAAAGCTTTACAATACTGTACAACTTCCAAGATAAATCTAAAACACTATTTTTCGAACCCCACAAAATGATTTTGTCGATATTTTGACACTAGCGTGCATATAGTGCGAAAGCAGCCCAGTGATCGAACACGCGTGCACGTTTTCGTGATGACATGGGCCCAGTTTAGGATAAAGGATTAAATGATAAAGATCCAATTCAAGGATGAAAAAAAGATTATTAATGAATTTTCCCATTTATGGAGGTAGATATGAGATCTTGATGAATTCCAGATCTTCCAAGAATGGTTATGGTGTGGTGTTTCTTCCAAGAAATGAAAATCCAATCCATAGATGATGATGCTACAAAAATCAAAGAATTGCAAGAATTATTAAAAGAAGAAAAGGTTACCAATGAAGTATTTGTTCATGACTTGAGCGGTGGCGAGTTTCCTCTCAATCTGAGTCATCTGCCCAATCTTCTCCTCCAGAGTCATCCTCTTCATCAAGTCTCTGATTCGGACTCCTAGGAGCTGTTTGGGATCTTTGTATTTCACATACTCAGCCTCCGCAAAAACAGCCAACAATAACAGCACAGCCAAACACACCGTTCCTCCAATCGGAGAAACCCTAATCCCCATCGCCATTCCAATCTGCCCTCAGTAACCGAAACAAAATCAATACACACGCACAGACACAATAAATTCAGTTCGAAGCACAGATTAAATGCAAGAGAATATCCTCACCGAGCTACGGAAATCGCCTTATTCAGAAGCTGCTGAGGTCGGTGCCAGCACCAAAAAGCTCTCCACCGCCCTACCGATTTGCGTAAGCAATGATTGAGGATGGAGTGACGAATGGGGAATTTTTGTCGATTTGTTGTGGCAATTGCATTGTGGCGTGTGAGGTTTTTGTAGTCCTTTGAGAGGAGTGACCATGGTCGTACTGGTCGGGTCTGAGTCTGACGAAAGGATAGGGTGGGTGGAAGAGGGAGAAGGTTGCGCGGGGCCCACCGGCCGCAACGGATACTTACATGCTGTGTTGCATTCGGTGCGGTTCAGAGGTCGGATAGATCTGCACCGTCGATGATAAAATGAGTGGCGTGGATGTATTTGGGAGTGCGGTCCTGGGAGTTCCCCAGACTGGGATTAGTCTGGCTGCTTTTAGTTAAATTCAAATCTAATGACCGTTGGTGAGAATAAACGCGTAGAAAACTGAGCTGTGTTTTCTTAGGCAAGCGCGGCTCTTGCCGTCCACATGGTGTGTTTAATCGATTACTTCAAAATATTACCATATAATAGTATTTAATTTAGGCAGTCGACACGTGTTTGTTTATTTGTAGATACATATTTTTACTTTGTATATATTTCCACAGTTCAACAAAAAAGAAAAAAATTACAGAAATCTATTTTTAATAAAAGAAATTAATTAATTAAATGTATCCAAGTCGTTTATATAAAAAAATTAAAAATTTAGTATAATATTTTAAAAAATTTATTATTGATGGCATGGGCCATCCAAACCCACAGGACCTCAAAATTTAAAATCTTTTTAGAGGTCCAAAGAAGTTAGTTTTATAAAAAATATATATTTTATATATAAAAAAATTTGTAAAATAGAATATCATATATATATATATATACATATAAATTGTTTGATTATATTTAAATTAAAAATTTTATTTAAATATATTTAATAAAAAAATTTATAAAAAACATAATGCTATATTTATTGACAACAAAAATTAAACAAACCAAAAAAATATATTAAATAATAAAATAAACAATTTAAAAATAGTAATTTTATATGAAGAAATAAAATGAGAGTCCATTTTTTATTCTTTTAAGATCAAATTATTTAGATGGGATATCAATTATAATCATTAATATTCAAATTTTGGTTCTTTCATTCAATCAATCACTGGCTGGCTCTCATTTCCCGACCGGCCGTGGAGAGTCCGAACCCGAAAGGGAACAGCGGGTCATAATGCGGGTCGCCCGCATTCATCGGCAGCTGATCCACCGATCGGAACCATGTGCGCGCCAGCTTCCCCGTGAACCCGTAGTCGCCGAACAGTACATCGGCGACGCCCTGCCCTTCCGTCCCCGGCAGCCATGCAGCCACCAGGGCGTCCATGACGTCGAGATACGGTTCGACCACCACCGGTCGCCCCGTCATCAGTATCACCACGCATTTCACAGCCCTGCATACATTCACGATCGTCTCGTACCCCGGCTCAGCTATCGTTAGGTTCTTGCTGTCACCGTTGGTTTCTGCGTAGGGAACCTCACCAACGACTACGATGGCGTAAGAGAAGGTGTTGGAGCTGAGGAATTTTGGGTCGGGGTTTTGGTGGTGTGTGACTTCGGTATCGGGATGGACTGTGTTCTTCACTGCAGATAAGACCGTTGTGCCTGAAAGGATGAAAGTAACCAAAGTCGTAATGTCGAATGTACATATACACGTAGTTATGACGTGAAAATCTGCAGTCGCATTAGGTACTAAGAGGATGTCAACAGCTTTTTTAACCTGAATCATTCTTTGATTTGGTGAACTTAGAAAAACATAGCAAATTCGAATTCGGAGAAATTAAATCCACATTCTGAGACTTTGGTTATATCGAGCGTTACCTACTGTAATGTTGCCAGAAAGGCCTTGCCACTCGATTGTCCATCCTCCACATTGATTGCCAATGTCATCGGAATGGCTTCCAGCCACAAGGATTTTCGCGGCTTTCTTGGGGAGAGGAAGAAAAGGTGCATCGCCATTTTTTCCATTCTTTAGAAGGACAAGTGATCGCCTTACAGCTTCTCTAGCCAGCTCCCTGTGCTCCTGCTTGGAAGCCATTGTTAAACGCTTTGTCGACAAACAATAATGCCAGTGTTAACTTCAATCTGATTGATGTACCTGGCTTCCGAGTTGGTTTACCAAAGACAAATCAGCCATTGGATTCTCGAATAGACCCAAGATGAATTTAATCCTTAGCACCCTCTCAACAGCATCATTGATTCTGTCGATGGAGATAAATTTGTTTTTCACTAGAAATGTTAAGTTACCAATGAAGTCCATGAATTTCTTTGGGATGATAACCTGCAACAAATTTCGACAGCCCATTAATAGAAGCTAAACCAAGACCGTATATAGAAATTGTGTTTTTTTTTATTGATAAACATTTTTCACTAACCATGTCAATTCCTGCATTTATACCAGCTTCAACAGAATAAGTGTAATTTGCCCCTGGTGGAGTGGTTATCTTGTCAAGACCTTCAGAGTCTGATACGACAATTCCCTGCAAACCACCATGATGGAATTAATTGATTGTGAAACATTAAACATCAACTCGATTGAAAGAGTTAAGCAAAAATGTGGTCGGATGTGTGTAAACTTTTATACCTTGAACTTGAGCTTTGTCTTGAGGTAGTCGGTGACAAGTCTGTGATTGGTATGCATCTTTACACCATTCAAGCTTGAGAAGGATAACATAATTGTAGAAACGCCCTTTCTAATGGAATCAATATATGCAGGCATATAGTCAGAGAGCAATTCATTCCACTCTATAATGGTGTCGTTTTCATTGATGCCCTGCACCGTAGCTCCATCTCCAATGAAGTGCTTAGCACATGCTGCAACTTTTGTCCTGTATTCAAGTAAACAATAAATCAGCAATCATCGTGTGAAATGTCCATTCACAAATCATGTTAAGTCCCCCCTCAAAGTAGCTAAATGTTAAACAGCTAACGAAGGCCCACATCCCATCCAATACTACAGATAATATGTTCCTCCTTCCGCCATTGTCATCAACGTTGCATCTTGAAATCAATTATATTCACTTAGGGATGCTGCCTTTCACCAGGAGTGAATGAAAATATTACTCCAGCCAACCAATCGAAAAAGTAAATGATTACGGCTACTCTTATAAGTTTTTCAATGCCCTTGAAATCAGCTTTACAAAGTTCTTTATAGGTGGCTAGTTTTTCAGAAATTGCATCAAAAAAATTATTAGCATATGCAACCAGATGAGGACTCTACCTCCCCTCGACAAATGGGAATCTTCTTGGATAGTCCTCTGGAATATCTCCTTGTAAACCTGGGATTATCTCGGTCATTGCTTCAACAATTTTATGATCTTCACTATAGCTTTCATAACAGCGACCCCATCTTGGGTCCCTACAAACCTGGAAATACATAGTTAATCAAAAGGTGCAACTGACTTGAGATAATTTAAAAGTATTATCCCCCTATTATTCACCGCAACACATGGAGCAAAAGTATAGGGGATTCCGGTAGCTCTAACTTCGAGAGCAGTTGCAGCTCCTATCTTCTTAACAAGTTCAGGATCCCTAATAAAAATTCATACAATTTTAATCAATTTGTTTGGCTGGCTGAAATACAAATAAGATGTCTATAAGTCCACTAGAGAATGGAGACAATACTTAAAGACTCCACATGCACAACACTACAGTCCAAACAAATTTCATCAGCTTCAATTTCTCAACAAATTCATATTTGCAACAAGGTGTGGCCTTGTCTCCTATTCAGTCATAATAATGCACATTTTAACATATTAGGTTCATTGTAGGTACGTCAACATCAGAAACTTTTGGAATGGCTGGACGTAGCTGGACATAAACTCTAAATGAGGTTATAATTTGGCAGTTGAGTAAAACAGGCATGAAATTAGCATGCCATGAAATGAAATGGCGAATGAATACCATAAGAACTGGAATAGATAACCCAACTTGCCTTGTGACTCCAAGCCCAACATTGTGAGGAAAGACTGTAGCATTGTAGACAGTATTATGGCCATGAACGGCATCAATTCCATATAATAAAGGAATTCCAAGACGGGTTGAGATAGCAGCCCTTTGGAACTCATTAATCATATTTATCCAAGTCCTGGCAGAAGCCTTCGGAGCTGGCACACTCCCTCCACCACTCAGAAGGTTCCCTGCAAACATCAGCACTTTGTGATAAGCCACTACCTAATTGTCACCAATCCATAATATTCCCGGTAAAGGGCAACATTCGACATGGACAAAAACTCTATCTTGTAAACACCTTGAAAAGCTAAGGCTAGAGTAATCAAACACGTTGCCGAGTTTTTCTTTTCATTTTATTTGGCATACTTGTTAGCATGATGAATGACATACACTATATAGATAATGATTTTAACTATGACTTGCTTAAATATTTCCTCTACTATCTGCAGCATTGTACATTAGCTTATTGAAAATTGCAATTGCTCCCAACAGATACATAACCATAGAAATTATATGCTACAGATATCAAATCAAAATCCCGATATCAAGGCAAAATCCCAATTCCCAACCTCCATTTCTGGCATTTAACTTAACAAAAGTTCTGAATAAGATTTTTAAATCAATAAAAAAAGAAACAAAGTGTTTCCGATAATACCGAATGATCAGTTTTTAGCTTTCTGATAATACCGAATGATCAGTTTTTAGCATCTTATACGTCAACATACTCATTATAGTATTAATTATCACTCAGAAATTTCAGTAGAGCGGATATAGGCCTTGAACTTTTTACTTTGCAGATTCAAAAGGTAATGGTGACTAATGACCAAAGATTATGCTCCAGCTGCTATAAATTTAGAAAGCCAGAGACTCCATACCGATGAAGTATTTCTTGATATTATCTGCAGATGCAACTTCTCTGTCCATCATTGCCAACTGGCCGACCTTTTCTTCAACAGTCATTCTAGTTATCAAATCTCTGATCCTCACATTCAACGGCTGTTTTGGGTCTTTGTACTTCAAGTTCTCTGCTTCTATGCAGAAGCACAAAATCAGTAACACTGCAGTTTGCATCGGTGAAATTGCCTTGCCCATCATCGTGATTGACCAGAATCTGGAAAGAAATAAAAGAGAGCAAACAGAGAACAATGAATAAAAAGACAAAAAAATTCAGATAATTACAAAACCTTTTACGAAATCAAACCCGATTTGACAAAACAGAAAATCAAAAAGAGCTCTTCTGTGAAAATGACGTACAAGTCAACACAGATATAAGCTATTTGTGTATTAAAAATGGGGTGTGACTTGTAAGCACTGCAAACATCGAGATGTAGTAAAAGCGCGCAAAAGACCAATTGTTCAATATTCTATTCAGCAGAAATATAAAATTAATAACACCAATCGATCCGTATAAAACAGATATGGACAGCGCATCCTCCATAAATCTCGGCATTATTGCACTGTTTCCTTATCCTGTTTACGCAATTGCACTCGCTAAACCCTAATCGAGAAAAAACACTGAAGTAAAAAAAAAAAAAGTGAGAAAGTCAATCTAAAGTCTAAACTCACAACACCGCAAACCGAAGTCAGAGAGTGCCTCCGATGCGGCGGGCGGGGAGTGGTTCGTCTTGGGTGGCGACGCCAACAGCCTCCTTGTTTGTGACTTGGTCTTGACTTGACATAAATCCTCATTGCCATAGAGCCATAAACACTGGTACAGTAAAAATAATAATACTAATTGAAAGTAAATAAGAAATGGATTTCCAACCTGATATCATCAGGAACATCTCTCAATTATTCATATTAAACGCTAAACTGATCACCCACGACTGGAGTGATTCCACACTGCCACATGACTCTACTCGCTCGAGTAAACTAGAGTAGGTATTCGGCCGGGGTTCATGGGCTCCAGTGGGTCGATTTGGGCCCGGTTCAAGACGAGCCCCACATATTCTGAGCCTACTTTAATTTATAACTCAAGACCGGCCCAAAATCATGAATTAAATGCATGCATATATAGAATAGAGATTGATGATTGATTTTGGTTATTCATGAATTAATAATTTCAGAAGGCCCTTTGGATTGGGTGGGACCACATGAATATGATTCATTGGATTCAGACATGCAACACATTTGTAGTGATAGGCGGTGTTTGCGGGGTCGTTGCCCTCGACGGGGACTTGCTCGGCTCTGCACCTGTACCTGTACTTGCACCCTCGGCATTCATTGTAGGTACACGTCGGCGCTACCGATCCGATCAGTACCTGGTCATTATCGTCCCGCTGCAACTGCAACTGCAACTGCAATGCATGCATGTAATTGATTGATCATATACATATGCAATGGATTCAACCAAAAGTGCTGCTAACCTTTACATTAACATTAATATTATGACTGATGTCCATCCGGTGATCAAGTGGGATTCCAAGTAAACAAAAATGGAGAAACATACAGATATATATAATTAAACTTATAGTGGAGTAATTCACAAGCTAAGGGCCTAGCTATGGAGATATCTAATTAATTAATTAATGAAGTGGTAACTGGTAGGTGTGAGAGGTGGACGACCTTTGATAAGAAGCAGTATGATATTGAAGAAGAATGCATGCGGCTACTACCAAGAAGAGCATTGGATGCTGCCTGCTTAGTTCCCGGCATCACCCATCGAGCGAGCGAGAGAGAAGAAGAAGAAGAAAGAGATTATTAGGAAAGAAGAAGAAATAGATGATTGAACGAATGAATGGTGAGCGAGCGAGCGGAGCACAACAAATTATTAATTACTCCGTACTCAATTGTGCTTTACATGTTTTGTTTGTATTTTAAGCTCGGTATTATATATACATCCTGTTTTGACGTCACTTGTTTCAAAAAGTAATCAAACTATAAATTAATTGTTATATTTTGTTATTATTGGAATAGATCGATGATTATATATAGTAGATCAATAGTGTTTATACAATCAAATGCAACTTCTAATTTGTACAATCTTAATTTTGTGGTGTATTTTAATAATGTCGTGATATATAGCTTGCACTTTTTATTAAGTTTAGTAGTATCACATTATATATACACCTTCTGATATTAGGATTTAGGGGGAGAAAAGAATCCAAAGAAAGAACATGTAAAGGACCACATAATAGTAGATTCCATGACAATTTGTATTTTGTCTTGTGTCAATGTGCTGTTGTCTTAATATGTTTAGGTATTATCCAATGCAATTATTTGTATGAATAATAATAGTAGCAGTACATTCTGATCAAAAATAAAATAATTATAGCAGTAAGGTAGCGGCTGCGGTTCCCACGATATAAAAAAAATAATAATAATAGTAGTAGTAGTATAATGTAGTATTTTAAGAAATTCTTTAAAAACAAAAACAAAAAATGTCACATACAACATGTTGAATAAAAATGTCCTGGTGGTGGGGCGGGGGATCACCATGTTCAAAAATACCTCCATCTCCAAATCATGTTCACAGGTAGTTGGCGTACTTACCTATTAGCACATACAATTTGACATAAATGCATTTCGCTATACTAGATAAAATATATTGTGTTATTATTATACACATTTTTGCATAGAATTTCTAATGTCATAATTTTGTGCATATGCTTATTTTCATAGTGTGGGTTTCTATTTTGGAATGTTCAACACTAGATTTGTTTAGATAAAAGTGCCCAAGGCCTATAAACTTAATTAAAGGTGCCCTATATTGTATGCAAGCATATAATTATTAATTTAAACCCAAGGCCCATTCTTATATCATAATAAAAGTATGCTACTCATAACTTCTATTATACTATAATTCATCCTTCATTATTTAAGAAAAACTAACCAACGTATAGACATAAAATTATAGATAAAATATTTCATATATTTATCCTAATAAAAGATATTATGGGCATGTGTGTGTGTGTGTCTGTTATAATCCTAAGGAAACGAAGTTTTAGGCAGGCAGGAAGACAGATTCACCAACACATATTTCCACAAGGTCATGTCATAACCTTAAATAGCCCATAGATGCCCAAAATACAAGAATGTCCGCACAAACACACAGTTAAAGACTTGATAAACCAAGTACTAACCTTATGTATGTATGTTGCTACAGCTGACAGCTAATACCGACCGATGAGAACGAAGTCATCGTCATCCAGGACAGCAACATCTTTGTCCCCGATGAAATGCTCGCGCCCAATATCCTTCACTATCTCCACAAATTCGATCCTCTTGGGCAGGGGAAGGGGGACATATGGCAGCCGGAAGATCGGCCTCACTACTCCCAGCTGAGCAAGGGCTGTGTTTACGCCAATCGGGTTTGGCTCGTGGAAAAGCCACTTGATCAGAGGCATAAGTTTCAAATTCAAAGACGGATTCTTTCCCCCAAACATCAGTTCTCGCATCAGACCGGGTACCAAGTTGCTCGTCACGGAGATTACACCTGCTGCTGCAAAGTCCCACCTAGAGTCATGGCATTGGTCGTCGTTCCCGCTCCATACAACAACTTCCTGACATGTGTACTGCTCTACCCTATCGTGTCCGACACATTCCTTGACGCCCGCCAAGTTGGGGTTCTGGGCTAGTGCGAGAACAACATGCGGAGGGATGTCCTGGCCGGTACGTGATGGTACGTTGTAGATAATTGTGGGGCCCATAGGAAGCACGCTTTCGAAATGAGAGACGAGACCCTCGAGAGAGGTCTTGCCATAGTAAGGATTGATGTGGAGGGCGGCGTGCATTCCAACAGCAAATCCTTGTTCAGTGGCGTGCATGGCTTCTCTTGTTGAGTTGCTTCCGGTGTTTCCGATGATTTTGATCGATCCACCAAAACAATTTACTGTGTGGCCAATGAGCATGATGTGTTCATCCCAGCTCATCAGCTGACCTTCACCGGTGGTGCCGCCAACAATCACCCCTTCAGCACCTCCTTTTATCTGCAAGTTCACTAAGGCATCATAGGCCTCTAGATCGAATCTGCCGTCTGGCAGATAAGGAGTTTTGATTGCAGTAATCAGTCTAAGTGATTTTATCTCATCAGCATTGGTCCTGCAAACAGAAGATTCAAATTTTACATAAAAGCTCATTTAGAAAGAAGCTTGATAATGCATAAATTAATGCAGAATATATAAGTACCGTGAAAATTGGTTTCCATTATGCATATAATCGCATTACCCAAATAAATGCTCATTTGGACAAACATTACATAGTGCATAAATTGATGTAGCATGTCTATCAAAAAGTAACCCAAGAAATGGTTTAACTTTTACATATAATCCCGTCATCCCAAATGAGCTACTGTTTTCCACAAGGTAAAGATAAGTCCATATCATGGTGAATATCAACCAAATCAATCCAGTCCAACACATGCCATGCTGCTTCTGCTTTGTGAATTATCTTAGACAAACTATTTTGTTATAATGAGAAGAGATAACAGATAACTTGCTAGGCTGTGCTTCAGATGCATACACCACCCAACCAATGAATAATTGTTTCATTTCAGAACATGCATAACACAATTGGCCATGTCCATCAACACACAAAAACTCAATTTATACTCAATTTTCTCATATAATGAAGAGTGGTGGTTGTAATAAAAGGTTTTAAGCTGGAGAGAATAAATAACGAACAGCAAGAGAAGATGATGATGGGGATAAAGTGAACGGCGTAAAGTAGAATGAAGATATAAATCAAAATAAAAGTTATGTAATGGTACTGCTGAATTTAAATTAATATATTGATAATATATTGGAAAAGGAAATTGAAGTATTCCCTCCCCCCACTCCCCTCCAAAAAGATTTGAATCAAAACACCATTTAAACTATTTTCCCTTCCCTTCCCTCCCCCTCTCTTTCCCTCAAACCAAACACACCCTTAATCATCCAAATGGAAGGAAATACTCTTTCTTATGAAGCATGTCTTTATCAAAGTGTTCACTTTTCATATTGAACTTGCCACATAGGAAATCATGAGTTATTCCCATTGTAGATTTATAAACGTGGACAACAAGGGTTTCTCCCCGCCAAGGAGAAACCTCGAATAAGAAAATATATATCTATGAGAGGGTGTTCTACTGCAAAGTGTCCACTTTTCTAAAGCATGTTTGTCAAACTAATATAACAGCCGGCCCCTAAAATATATATAGTATTATATAAATATAAATATATATTACAATCACAATGCATAAGAAAAAATCTAAGAATTGATCTCATAATTCATTCCAACAAAATCATTTGTCTGAGGTTGAAATTGGAACAGAAAAAACAATGAAAGTTGAAGCATAGATAAACGAAGAAAGAAGCAGAAAAGAAAAGAATGGCACCTGAGGCACAAGGTAAACCTTAGGAAATAAATAACCATTAAGTTATTATTGAGTTGTTACAATCTATATATAAGTAACCATTAAGCTAACAAAACCATTTTGAATAAAATGAATCTATTAGATTCAATTGCCTAAAATGCAGGCTCAAAGGGTTTCTTAATTAAATCACAGAGAATGTTGAAGATAATCAGTGACATTTCTGTTTCGACATAGTTTTGAATCATTGATCCACCACACCTGCACATTGCAGATCTGAATAACCCCACAGATCCATATCACACCTGCCCCACCCTGCAGTGAAACCCACAATTGCTGTGCGTTCATAAACACACTGCAATGGTGTGGTGGCACAAAAATGTGCTATTGGCAACTTTGGCTAGAACGAAATAACCTAGAAACAATTGTGTTTTCCCCGCCATGTTTTCACTATTCATCTATAGTGATTTATTATTTTTTATTTCACTTCAAACATCACGTCATACATAAAAAAATCTATTCAAACCATCTCATCAAATACGCCATTTATATCACATCAAACAATTATTATGATTCAAAATTTTTACTATTCCAAAATACACCAAACACAACCAAACAAGATCTCCTAAAGAATATTCTTTCTTGAGGGGAATATGCAGCACTGCATAAAATTTGGCACAAAAAATTTGCACTAAAAACTTTGGTTTAGTCTACTTGTTACCTATTTTTAATCTCGTAGCTTCTCATGGGAAGATGAAAGTTAGGCACCACAGCTGCTCTGGGCGCCCTCCATTTTGCCAACCTTCCTGCAAAATATAGAAACAAGAATAGACATCAATAAAACATCAAAACAAATACTCCCTCCGTCCCTTAACAATCTATCCATTTTTCCATTTTGGTCCGTACCATGTCAAAGTATCCGTTTCCCTCTTTTAGTAATTGTACTATCTACCTAACATTACAAATACCCTTCTAATTTACAATATATTACACAAATGTCATTTCCTTTGTATCATACAATGTTAATTTAGTATTTTTACCTTTATTTCTACTTTATCCCAATATAATAATCCCGTGCATAAACAAAATGGATAGATAGATTGGGGACGGAGGGAGTATATCTCAAGCCAATCCTTTTCAAGGAAAGAACAAACAAATTGTATCGCAGAAATGTAGTCAAAACACAAATGCTTGTGTATAAGAAATATTGGCTCAGCGGCGAGGATAAACATCTCCAAACGAAAATTGCATGAGAAAATATCCAAATTACGTTTCGCAATGATAACTAGTTGGGAGTGTAACCGTTAATTCATAGTCACGGCACCGAAGCCAACACAAACAAAAACTTCCACAAGAAAATAACAAAAATAGGACATAATCAAAGCATCACTCTGCTTCTCCGAATAACAAACAACCACGAACACAATCATCGCAATAACTTCGCATTCGAGTATCCTAATTTACAAAATACCTTGGTGTGCAATTTTGAGAGAGCAACATCCAATCGCCGACGCCATCGATAGAAACTCGAGACAAGCAGACCACAAATGACAAAAAAAAGAAGAGCAAAAATCGGCGCAAGCTTGTTGCAGATCACGTAATAATTCGGAAAGTCGGAGCAATTACGAAATCGAGTGTATGAGTAGTGCTCAGGTAGCTCGATCTGATCCGCATTAGAAAGTGCTCGACTCAGGCGGAGTGGGCGGCGACTGGCGGCGGCGGTGGGGCGTGGAGTAAATCGGAAGGGTTTTTGGATGCGGCGGCGAACAGGGATTCTATTTAGGGCTTTTTTATATGCCGGTTATTATTTCTTCGTCAAAATTTATGTGGAAACGAGACCAGACTAATTTCATTTTTATTTATATCTTACAAAAAAGTTATTTTAAATTTAAAAGTTTGATATAAAATCAAATTTTAAAATTCAAACCAACGTATCTTAAAGTTTCTTTTGTAAAATAATTTAAATAAATAGTTTTTTATTATTAAAAATATAAAAATTATATAAATAATATAAAAATATACAAGTAGTATATAATTTTTTTAAGTATTTATATTATTTTATATATATAAAAAAGAAAAACACACTCTTGATATGTCTGGTGTGCATTGTCTATTATTAATATTTCATTCATCTCATGTCTATCTATCTATTTATTTTTGTACTAAATTTTACAAATATTAATATTATATTAGAATATAATAGAAATAAAGATAAAAAGACTAAAATATTTATTATTAGTATTATATGATATAAATGTAATTACATTTGTGTAATATATTATAAATTTGAAGGATATTTATAAAAAGACTAAAAAAAATAAATACTTTGTCACGAACTGAAACGGAAAATTGATATATTGTTAAAAGACTGAGGGAGTATTTTTTATTTTATAAAATATTAAATTTAATACTAAAATATTATACTCTCTTTGTCCCATTGAAAGTAAATTTTGAATATTAGTGTTATAGTATTAAATTGTAATAGAAAAGATAAAATACTTATATTATTATTGTGTGATATAAAAGTAATAATATTTGTGTAATACTCCTTCCGTCCCATATACCGTCTACATTGTAGATACGGTATTAGTGAAAATAATTAACTTATAATATAAATAATTATAAATTAAGATTAACATAACTAATTAGTTTAATTAAAATTTAAAAAAATAAATTAAAAAGTTAAAAATGAGATTAAAGTGTGTAATCATTTTCTAAAAAATGAAAGTGACATGAAATGTGGGACGGACAGAAACGACAACATGACATTATATGTGAGACAGAGGGAGTATAGTTGAGATGGTATTTAATATGTTAGGTAGATAATACAATTATTAAATTATGGAATAATAACCTTGTTTTGTGACATATAGAACGAAAATTACAATGTTTCAATGGAACGGATGGAGTATTCAATTTTTTATTTTTAAAATTTTTCAAATTATATCATTCCATTCACGCATCATTATAAAATATATTATTTTAAATTAAATATTTAATTTTTTTGCTTTTTGTAATGAATATTTGAAGTTTATTTTGACTTTTTTATTTTTCTAAAATATTTTTTTATCATTTATTATTGTTTTTTTAGAATCGTAATTAAAAAATATTATTAAAAACCCAAAAATAAATAAAGTAAATAAGTTCTATTAATAATCTAGAATATTTAAAAAAGGTTTATTTTGACACGTATTTGGGATTAATTTAAATTTGAAAATTTAAAAGTATTTTAAATATAATTTTAATATAAAAATTAATGATACGATGCTAAAACGGTAGTATTTGTAAAAAATATAAAATCATAGTTACTAAAAAAATAATTATTTTATAATTGAACACTTTAAAATAAAAATATATATACATATTGTAAAATATAAATTAACATTTATACATTGAACATAGTAAATTTATTCACTTAATATTTTTAAACAAATGTATTTTTTATATTAAATATAAAATTTATGTTAGATAAAATAAAAAATAATATTTTTAATTACATAATGTTTGAATGGATAACATATATTATATATTATGTATTATATTAAAAATATTTATAAGGAGTTATATAATTCAAAAATACTAAGCTAATAAACCTAGCATTTTCAATTGATAAATTACTACATCTATGTTCAAAAGTCTTTACAAAGAATGGAATAATTTTGCTAGGTTAGTATGATGTAGCTGAAAATATTGAGTAATAATTATGTTATTATTAAAAATTATATTATTTTATTTGAAATTTGAAATTTGAAGTTATATTATTATAAAAATTAGGTAGAATATTTAAAATTTAATATGTTATTAATATTTAAATAATTAAAATTTAATCTAATTAAAATAAATAATTTATATTTCAAAAATACAATAATACAAAAATACTAGTATTATTTTATTACTTTTTTAATATATTAAGTTCTCTTAGTTTATTTTATTTTTAAAAATATACGGTGATACCAGTAAATTTATATTATCTCCGTTATCTAATTGTATGCTCATTAAATCGAGTTTTAATAAAATACATAAAAATATAAACTTTTTATTTTATTGAGTAAAAATAATTAAAAATAATAAATTTGAATGAAAAAAAATACTAAAAATAGATTTGGTAGTAAAAAAAATATTATTTTTAATTAAAAAAAGTTAATAGAATTTAAAAATATATTCAAAAGCTTTTGCTGAAATAATTTGTTTTGTTCTCTTTATTAATTTTAATTATACAAAGTTCGTCTTCTTATAAATTTATACTATTAATTTTTAATTTAAAATATATAGTACATAAAAAAATAATAATAATAATAATAAAATTGAAAACTTAAATTTACAATAATAATAGTAATAAATAAATAAATAACCGGCCGGGTATTTTTTCTAATATGATTTCGTAGTTTCCCTTTGGCACATGTGTACCGTTGTACGTCGATCGATTCCAGACCCCTGCAGGAGCCGAACGCCGAACAATCGACACCGTTTATTTGAAGATCGAACGGTGTAGATACAGCCAACCCTGAAATCTGATTATTCGTCGAGAGAAAGACGAACTCCATAATTATTTTCTCCCTCAAATTTCGTCTTGTTGTACAACGTTGTACTCATCGCCAGTTCAGCTCCCCTCCTTCTTGTCCGTATAAATCACTGTCCCATTTCCTCTGCAACAGAGTTTTTCATCGAAGCAGCACAAAAATTTGCAGCAAGAAATTTGAATTTCTTACCAATGGCGCCGGCCATTGTACACTGGGCTGCTGCGTTTGTACTATCCGCGGTTTCTCTAACCTCACCGTCACAGGCGGCCACATGTACGTCACAGACGTTCACCGGTAACAGAGTGTATACATTCTGTAACGACCTTCCCACTCTCAACTGCTTCCTCCACTGGACCTACAGTCCCGACCAATCCACGCTCTCCCTCGCCTTCGTCGGAGCTCCGGCGACGCCGGACGGGTGGATTTCATGGGCGATAAACCCAACAGACACCGGCATGCTCGGTTCGCAAGCGCTAGTTGCGTTCAAGGACGTTAAGGATCGAATGACGGTTAAGGCGTACAATATCTCGTCGTATTCGGCGCCGGACAACTCAAAGGTTTGGTTCCAGGTGAAGGAATCGTCGGCGGAGTTTGTCGGCGGGGTTATTAGGCTCTTCGCAACCCTAATTTTGCCGGAGAAAGGGATTACGACGGTGAACCATGTTTGGCAAGTCGGACCTTCCGTCACGAAGGGAGTTCCGGATAAGCATTTTGTTCAGCCGGCGAATTTGGCCGCCGTAGGCATCCTTGATCTGATGAAAGGACAGAGCACCGGCGGCGCCGGCGCCGGCGATGCTAAAGTGAAGAAGAGGAATGTGAGTTTCGATTTTCATATATATAATGCAGGAAAATTGCAAGTTTGAGTACTTTCTCCTTCAATTCATAGATTTTCAGTTGAATCCGCCTCTGATTTGTTATCAATTTTGAGCTCAATTCTTAATTCTGATTGAAACCTAATTGAAGAAGCGAAGCAGGTGAATGTGAGAACCGATTGTCCTGCCAAATCCGATCATGTAGAACTCAGAAATTAGAATAAATTTAGTTTCACCTAGCCATAGCTGTTGAATCAAATCTGCAACTGATGTTCCAACCGTTGAGCAAATTATAGGTTATACTGCTTGAACCAAAATGATATGAATGGAGCCCTAATTTGTGTTCACTACATATGATTCAGATCCATGGAATACTGAATGGTGTGAGTTGGGGAATTATGTTTCCGATTGGAATCATCATTGCAAGGTACATGAGAGCCTTCCCATCGGCCGATCCTGCCTGGTTTTATTTGCACGTTTCCTGTCAGTTTTCTGCGTATGCCATTGGAGTTGCTGGTCTCGCAACTGGTCTTAAACTCGGGATGGAATCAAAGGCTGTTACATATTCCGAGCATCGCAACATTGGGATCGCACTCCTTGTTTTCGCCACACTACAGGTAAATTAAACATGATCAACACAGCTAACTTAGTAGAGGCAAATTGAGTTCAGTTCAACTCTTGCTGGCTTTACTGATGATCAGATTTATACCTGTATCAGATGTTTGCATTGCTGTTGAGGCCCAACAAGAAGCACAAGTATCGGATGTACTGGAACGTGTACCATCACTCGTGCGGATACACGGTGCTCATCCTCGGCATCATCAACGTGTTCAAAGGTCTGAGCATATTACAGCCCGTCAACGTATGGAGAAAGGCTTACATTGGCGTGATTGCTGGGATAGGAGGCGTCGCATTGCTGCTGGAAGTCATCACTTGGGTCGTCGTTCTGAGGCGAAAGAAGTCAAAAGCATAGAGAGGGGGTAGCTTCAACAACAACAAGAACAGACAGACAGCCCAGCCCAGCCCAGGCATGCATGAATCTCCTGATTATTCATTCGTCTGCATTCTATCTATCTATATATATGTCTTAATTTTGAAATCCTTGCCTCGTTATAGTAGTAGTTTGGTGATCCTCTTGTTTGTATTGGATTTGGATCGTCCACGACATGTGTTGTCGGATGCTCACTGACACTAACTAACCTATCTTAGGACAACCTTAATTCCTTGTTTACATTGAAATTTGAATGAACACAGGTGCTAATGTTATGTTGAACTTTATGTGATACTGATGGATGCATATATCAATGAAATGTGATTTCCATGTTATAAAAAATAAAATAAAATAAAATAAAATAATAATGTGCTTCCTCGGACCCGGAGGTCCAGGACCTCGTACGAGTTGAAATCATTTCAGTCCAACATAAATGACCCCAATAATTTATAAAGGGCCAAATTAGAATAAGCGGGCAGTATTTGCTTTTTATATTGGGTTTTGACTAAATTAAATTAGGCCTAAACGTGCAAAGGCCCACCAAATAAAGATACGACTAAACCCTAAGCTCCGTCGCGCTTCGTTGCCGTCACCTCAGAGACTTTCGTATCAACAGAGGAGCCGCCGCCGCGCCGCTACCGACCCGCCACCGCCAGGTTTGAATTAGAGCTTCAAGTTCGTTGCCTAATGTGTAGAATTGATTTTTTTGGGTTGCTCACTTTACTTTGTTACCCGTCCAAATTTGAAGACTGTTTCGAAAATTTAAAATATATTAATAATGAATTTAGATTTGAGAATTATGTGGGCCTCAAATGCGTATGTTTTTTACCGTCTTGTGTTATTGAGAGTGTAAATTATTACACTGCGCAATGGAGGTTACTCTAGTATCGTTGATTGTTGAGCTTTGCGGTGACCGCAGATTTGTTGGCGTCTTGAATTTATTTATTCGATGTACTGAATGAACAGTTGTGCGTGCGAGTTTCTTTTGCGGATTGAATAATTTGATATGATTTCTATGGTCAAATTGCATAAAACTGGTTGCCGCAATTCTTTATGGTGAATGCTCCATTATTTATTTTATTTTATTTTATTATTATCTGAATGCTGCGTGTGAAAGTGTTTTGTGGAATTTGTGGAGGATTGCGTGAAAACTTGAAGGTTTCATTATTCATAAATATTATGTTATTTGCCAATGTGTTTAATGTGGAGGAGTGTAATAGTAAATCTTTGATTTTGGAGTAGAAATGTATGTGGATATGGGTGTGCACACACATAAATATGACTGTATACTTTAACAAAGACAATAATTTTAAGAGCAAGAAAGTCTTTTAGAAGAATCAATTTTTCATGTTAACATGTATTGGAGGTGTGCGAGATCCACAAGCATTGAGGTTGTGTGCGTCCCTTTTCCATGTGAGATGCTAGAGTTAGCTTCTGCTTGCAATTTGGTAACTTAACACCATAAGAGTTCCTTTTGTCCAGGAGCCATGGCAGTTCCGTTGCTGAGTAAGAAGATTGTGAAGAAGAGAACAAAGAAGTTCAAGAGGCACCAGAGTGATCGGTTTGACTCCGTGAAGGTTATGATTTATTCATTTTGTATATGTATTTCTGTCCTAAATGGTATCCAAAATAAGTTTATTAAATTATTGTCAACTGAACATTTCTTTCTCTTTTGTTGTTGCAGCCAAATTGGCGCAGACCCAAGGGTATTGACTCCCGAGTGAGGAGAAAGTTCAAAGGATGTACACTTATGCCAAACATTGGTTATGGATCGGACAAGAGGACCCGCCATTATCTTCCCAATGGATTTAAGAAGTTTGTCGTGCACAATGTGAAAGAGTTGGAAGTTCTGATGATGCACAACAGGTTTGACATACTCTCTTGCACTTCTCTTTTTCTTTTTTATTTTTTTTTTAAAGTTTTTTCAGAACATAACAATTAGGCAAAATTACACCTGATCTTGTAATTTCTGTATAAATTCCCCAAGAATTAAATTGGGATGAATGGGGGACTTAAAAATCCTTATTAAGAGCATAATCTTTAGGCAAAATTACACTTTTAGTCTCAAAAGATTGGTCCCTTCCTACGTTAATTTAACAACAACTTAATTGCACTAATCGTCCAACTCATCTTTTTTAGAATAAACCCTTAAGGCAAAGCTACACTTTTAATCTCATAGAAAGTGTTCATCCTAGTTTAATTCGACAAGAATTAGTGTTTTTTTTTTTTTAAAAAAAAAATCCAACATCATCAGTGCCAATATAGAATAGGTAGGTAACATCTATGCTTACTGATAATTATGTAAGCCTTAGATGCTATATTTGTGGGCACTTGCTACTTCATGGAAATAACACGATAAGGGACACCTGTTTTAAGCTTAAAATGCAATTTTGCATCGCTTTTATGATGTATGCCTTTTGAAATTTAGTGTTGAAACTGTCAGGACATACTGTGCTGAGATAGCCCATAATGTTTCTACCAAAAAACGGAAGGATATTGTCGAACGGGCTGCCCAGTTGGATATTGCTGTAACCAACAAGTTGGCCAGGCTGCGCAGCCAAGAGGACGAGTAAGCTGTTTAATAGGTAGGTATTCATTGAATTTATATTTAAATTTTTTGATTTGAAAGAAATTCACGGAACAATTATAGCTGAAAAGTATATGCAATAGCATAAGCAATTTATATTTTTATTTTAGTTCGTTTTAAGATATTTGTTCCAAACTCTTAAGTTGTTTGTTAGTCTGCAATTTTAAGCTAGAAGAAGATTTTGACCTCTCAAACTTGAAAGTGCTGCCTGCGAAGTGTTTGGATATCTGATATGATTCAAAGCTGGCTCGCTTTGCATGGTTGTTGATAAATTACTAGTTATTATTATTCGGCCCAAGTTGATTCAATTCTCTCTATCTAACAAAGGATATAAATTTGTTGTTAATTTTACATTCAATGCATTTTGAGCTTTGGAACATTATATAGTCTGCTTGGAGTTGAATATTTTCATGTTTGTTGAGTAAATATGACATTAGACCTAAAAAATATTGATAATGCTTGTGAACAAAATTTGACTTTGTTTGTGACCATAGTAGGTTAGAATTAATTATCCAACTACTGAGTTTAAATAAGCTGAATTTGCAGATAACTCGTTAATTTACAACATATACTAAATTGAGGTAACTATAATAAGAATAATAGCAATGTGAGTTAGGTGGTGTAAAAACTTGGCTACTCACTTATGGATTTGATATTTATCATCATTTTTTAAATTTTCAACATTAGAGATTTTGCTAATTTGAGAAAACTATTTGATCAGTAAATGTGGTTTTGTTTCTCAATTATGTTATTATAGTTCTTATCAGTTTGTTTTGTTTCCCCATATGCCATGGAAGCTTTGGCCGCATCTGACTTTGTTCACCTATAAAGTCTTACAATTGATTTTCTCAAAGAAAAACAAAACAAAACAATACTCCATAAAGACCAATCACTCAAAATTGATCTTCAAAGACTAATAAGGTAAAAGAAAGTGGACTTCAAAGGATCTGTTTATTAAGGTTTTATTATTGATTTAATGTTTTTTTTTTAAAAAAAATATATATATATATCAAATCTTAACAATTATTTTTTATTTTAGTTAAAAAAATAATTTTACATTCAAATATTACATTAATATTTTTTTATATTAAATCAATAATTATTAAAATTAAAATTTTTACTATTAAAAACTACAAATCTAAAATGTAAATCCACAAACAAGCACACCATATTCTTACTTTAGATCACTCTTTTCTCTAAAAAAATATATTAAATCTAAATTACACTTAAGATTAACATATAAAATTAAAAGTTAAGTGAAAGAATTCATAGAGTATATAAATTTAAAATATCGTTTTCATTACAAAAATTAAATCCAAAATGTAATTAGAAAAACACTTGGGAAATAAAAATTATTATCAAACAACTTAAAAATAGTGGACCTCAAAAGTTGTTTGCATGAGGATGAGGAAAATGAGGACACAGCAGTGGTTTCGACGTCAAATAAAATGGGAAGTTTGAAAATTACTTGTAACTAACTTTAGATTTCATTTATTTAAAATAAATACTCCTAACAATGTTATTGAATGTATTCGATTGAGCTAAGGATGCGCGCATTTATTATTGTGGGCACATATCACTGAATATCCATTCAGTTTGTCAACATTTATACATGCTCAACAATCCAACTGTACAACATGATTGATATATATATATATATATATATTCGAGATTATATCGAGTCGAGATTTTTAAAAATGCAAGATTATTAATAATAAATATATAAAACTTATTACATACTTAATACAAGTATTTTGAGGTGATCACCTTGGAACAATTATGTTTTTTCGTTCATAATACACTAACATCACGAGTTCATTCTCCACACGACCGATCATCCGTTTGGGAACAAATTATTATTATTATTATTATTATTATTATTATTGGGTGAGGTTCGTGCAGTGGTTGTAGCGGTAGAGCACATGTTTAGGTAAGGAAATGAAGGGCAGTTCTCGTATTAAATGTCAGTTTTCATGGTTTTATTGAATAAACAGCATCATCATCGTCACTGATGGGGATTGATTTGATTGCAAATATGTGTGTGTGTGTGTCTGTAAACTACTCATCATCACGAGCATGCACCACAGGGACAAGACAACAAAACAAACGATAAGAGTAATTAAGTAAGAGGTGTTAAATCATCACTTAGCTTAATTTCTTCCAACTGCATTCGTTTGCTTTGCTGTTTACTCATTCCGCAGCCAACCATATTGTTTGCTGCCCTGCCCTGCCTTGTTCATCTTTTTCAGTCACCGCTTCCATGTAATTAAATTCATGATTATTATGGTTATCAATCATCCATCATTGTTATTTATATAAATTTCATTTGTTTATTGTAATCAATTATTATTATTATTAAATAATAAAACAAAATTGAGTGTGTTTACTATTGGTTTTGTTTATGCCTTTGCGTTTTGAATTATTCACTTTACAATATTTCTTTTTAAAAATATCCCATTAATGATCATACACAAAATTTATTGAATAACATCAAACTATTATAAGTGGTCCAGTGTTAATAACGTCTGTCACATTAAAAATTGAGGTTAGGTACCTCGCACATGTCATCATGTTCATGAGCCACAATACTCAGGTAAAACTAAGCACCATTGTAGCTTCACTAAAAGATAAACCAGCAAATCAAATGAAATGAAATGTGCAAACAAAAAATAAATAAAAAGAAAAAAGGCGGATATGTTAATTTATTTTTATATCTCAAAATTTCATTAGGAGTTCAAAAAATCAAGAAATTATCGTTATGGATTTTCGTTGGGTGATTTTGACCGTTGACCCAGGCATGTTTATTGCTATTCTTCATCTTCTTCTCCTCCTCGAAATTAGTGTTGTCAATTTTTTCTTGTCCGTTTTTGAACACTCTTTGGACGTAATTCTCCACGTCAATATCCTTATTTCCTTCCATGCCCTCAACGTCCGTCAATTCGGGGATGAACGGCGGTCGGGGCATTTCGGTAATTGCGTCCCAATCAACGGCTGCGAAGAAACAATGACTCTTGATCTCACGGACGGAAATCCTCCTCCGCGGGTCCTTGTCGAGTAATTTTCCAATTAAGTCCCTCAACGGCGTCAACTCGCCCGTCAAATCCGGAGTCTTGGAGATGACTCGGTAGAAGGTTTCCTTCCTGTTAGCGCCTCGAAACGGCGTCGTACCGTACAGCATTTCATAGAGCATAACGCCCAAGCACCACCAGTCGACGGAGAAGTCGTGGCCGTGGCCGAGGATGACCTCCGGCGCGACGTACTCCTCCGTGCCCACGAACGAGTTGGATTTCTCGACGGAATCGGATCTGGAACTCAGTGAGTCGATTCTGAGCTCTTCTCCGAGTTGGACCGAGTCGTCGGGAGATATTTCTGAGTCGCGGTGCTGGAAGAAACAACCGTGTTTCTGTTTCTTCTTCTTCTTCTTCTTCTTCGGATTGATTTGAGGCTTCGGTTGGGGGAATGAAATCGGACGGTTTTCAGGCGATTTTGAGGAGAGTTTCGTTGAGAGGTCGAAATCTACCAACATTAAGTGACCGTTCTCCTGAATCATCACATTTTCCGGCTTCAAATCTCTGTAAACGATGCCAGAATTGTGAAGATACTCTAATGCCAACACCAATTCCGCCGCGTAAAATCTGAAAACCGGTTCGATTCTAAATTACAAGCTCTGTACTGATTTGCTATTCAAATTTATTGAAATTCAAGCTCTCGACAATTGAAGTTTATAGCGGAACTGAAACAGGAAAGTGAAGAGAGGAGCTAAGATTATACCTGATGATATCGTCGGAAAACATTTTTTCAGTTTGTTTCTTCCGCAGATAATTGAGATCGCGACCGGAGCAATAATCAATAGCGTATCCAACAAGCTTCTCTGTTTCCAAAACTCCGTGAAGCTTCGGTAACAGTGGATGATTGAAAGAGGCGAGCACGTCTCTTTCAAACCGAACTCGCCGGTACTCATTGCCGTGGCTGGAGCTTTCGAGCTTCTTCTCCACAGAAGATCTCAAAATTGCCTTGAGCGCGAGCAGTTCACCATTCGCAGTTTTCACGAGGAAAACCACGCCTTTTGCGCCGCGACCGAGCGCCGATATCACCTTAATATTCTTCAAATCTAGAGCACGCGGATCCTGATCGAAGCCTCCGGCGAGCATGGCGGAGACGTCCGGCGATCTGCCACCGGAAGACGAGCCGATGAAGTCCGGAGAATCTGTTATCAGCATCGATAATCAAACAAACGAGAGAATTAATTTAGTGGAGAGAATCGCACCAAATCTGCAGAGAGTGTCATTAAAGAGGAAACGCATGTGGGGGCTTTATATACGGGTCGCCGAAAAATGGGTGGGGGGTTACTACGACGACGTCGTACGACGAAACTCCTTGTTGGGGAAGGGAAAGGACTTGCGCTGGAATTTTTCTAAAAAATAAAATAAAATAAAATAAAAATTGCTGAAGTACATGCTTACGACGACGTCGTATGACGATGCTTAATTCTATAGTATTTTGATTTTTATTCGAAATAAATAAAAAATCGGCAAAGTCGACTGCAGCTTCTAGAAACCATCGACTCATTCATTACAAATATTATTAACAGTATAACTGTGATCTATGATGACGAACCATTCGTGTCTCTATATATATATATATATATATATCTACATATATAGCTAGTTAACTTCATACAATTATGATCATTTAATATAAATAGATGATTTTTTTATTGTAATTAAATAAAGTTTGATTTTTTATTTTTTTCATATAATAGTTATATTGTGTCATTGTTTTCTTTTATGAGAACGTATTATTCAACATCCATTTTCTAAAAAAATAATCCCTTTATTAGGTAGCATAGACTAATAATCCATTTTCTAAAAAAATAATTCCTTTATTAGTAAGCATAGACTAATAAGTTATTAATAATAACTTATGATATTAGTTTATTATTTTTTATATGAATAATATTATTAGTATTTTAGAAAATTTTAAGATTATATCTATATGTAATATGAATATTATTTTGTAGATAATAAAATTTTATATAATATAAATAAATAAAAATATATAAAAATTACCATAAATTAATTTTATAAAAATAAGAAGTTTTAAATATAGATAAAAAAATTATGTTAATAAATAGGTTTTGAGTAAGATGTTAGAAGTTTAATTAAATTGAGAAGTATGCTTAAGATTGATAAAATTATTTTTGAAAAGGGATCATCTTTTGTGGAACGTAAAAAAGGAGAAAGGATAATGAGTGGCGGGACGGAGGAAGTATTTCCTAACTGTGAACAAATATAATTATCAATTAATTTATTCTAAATTTTAATTGTGGTCTTTAATTATTTTTTATGAATATAAATTTATAGTGGATTACATGATGAAATTATAGTAAAAAAATATATTGAATTATGAAATACATTTAAAAAGTAAATTACTTCCTATTAATTGTATAATAAACGTGCTGAAAATTTAAAATCAACATATCATTTTTCCTATTTTATATAGGGTTTTCAATAAGATATTACGACTATGACTTAAATTTCAATCTTACATAAATAATTGATTTGATGCTGCCTACCATCAAAGTGGTGCTTTCCCCTCCCCAACTCATTTTAATCGTGCTTAGGAACGCAAGTTAGTAGGTGTTCAAAAATCAAACTTTTCTGTGTTCATTTATAAAATTTTACAAAATTTTTAATATTCATCCAAATTGTTTCTAAAAAATATTAAATCAAAACGTCTCAAAATTAATTTTTATATTATACTAAAAATTAAGTTTATATTCAAAACATCACGTCAATACCTATTTATTAAAAAACAATTATCCCTGTATTTGTAAAAATAACAAAAAATTGCAAGATTTCCTCCATTAAAACATAACACTCCTTATACTTACGTTCAAACTGAACTTAAAAAAGTGATGGAGTGCACGAACATAGAATTGAACGACGGATCAATATCAAATTATTGATTATAAAACGAGGCGAACTCATATAACAAACACCAAGAAAGTACACAATGTAGACGACTTCATAGAATATACAAAATGCAAGAGCAATCGAAAGGCGTACCCGGTTACGCCGTGTGAGTAAGATTCACGGCCCTATCGAGTCTTTCAAGAAGGCCATTGGCCTTTCTCATAGCACGGGAAGTCCCATTTCGAGCAAGTTGAGATAAAGTGCGATGCATCCTTTCATCTTCCCTTAGATGTTTCCACTTCGACCGATCGTTAAAGCAAATTGAATATAAGATGGCAATGCAATTCTCCTTATTCCGAGGACATGATGTCTCCCGAATAACGCTGAGTATGGTCGGGACTGCTTCGAGCTCCCCCATTTCCTCAATAGCTTTTTGGTTGGTCGAGAGCATAGCAAGGATGGATAGTAACTCGTCGACATGAATTCTGCAGACAATCTTGTTCAGGATCACACTTACAGCACCTTCCTTGACAGCCCTCACCTTATTCTCATGAAGGATGCATAAACTAAAGATTGCTGAAGTGACGTCTTTCATCGCTGAAGGATGGCCTTCGTCTAATAGGTCGATCAGGGGCTTGAGGGCACCAGACTTACCGATAACCGCTTTATTTGAGTCGAGGGCGGATAATGTGAAGAGGGTTGCTGCTGCATTGCTCCTTGTCGCGATTGTTCCCGACTGCAAGGCTTGAATAAGAACAGGAATCGCAGTTGGGGTCTCGGCGACGAGCATCTTGTTGCTGTCATGGATGGAGAGATTCAACAGCGTCGTTATTACGTCTTCTTGGAGGTCAGGATGATTACGGACAATATCGGTCCCGGGCTTTGTCCGAGAGAGTGGAGACAGCAACTGAGGTACTGCATCAGTGGATTCCCCAAAAAGTGTCCGGAACGAAGGGATTCGTTTCGTTAGAAGACGAAGCTTCTTAGCAGCCTCTTTCTGTTCCGGTAACGTTGAAGACATGTTGTTGAGTAACTCGAGGAAATGATCCCGATCAGCCCTGGTCAAGCCCTCGTCTTCCCCGTTGAAGTAGGTGTGATCGGGCAATTTGATTCCACGATTCTCGCACCACCGAACGATCATATCCCGGATCAAGTGGTTCGGTGTTAGGATGGTGTGAGCAAGCACTTGCTGAGTTCGAGGGCACACCCTGCTCCCTGAATTCAGCCAGTTTTGGATGAAAGCTCGGTCGAACGTCTGCCAAATTCACACCCCGAAAAGCATCAATACAGACAAAGATTACGCTGTAGAGACGAAATAGAATTCATCAGAAACACCATAGAGATGACATGGAAACAACATAGAGATTGAAAAACAGAGCACAGTTCTACTGCTCGGATAGGAGAAATTGAAACAAAATCAACGAACAGAGACACTAATGGAAATGTAATAGTTCAATCACCATCAACAAAATGCAATAACTGAATTGAATTGAATGATAAGATCGATCAATTTACAGCAAGAGAAAAAGGTAGGATGAAAAAGACAAAAAAGAACTAGAGGTCGGTATGATTCTTCAGCATCATTACGTTGCATATGCCAATCAATTCATTCACCAACCAACTGCATTTTATCTATCATCTGTAGACTGTAGCTAACTAACCAATTGCCAAATTCCATATACCGAACGAGATTGCCAATTTGCCATAGTTATTCAACCCTAGAAAGTGAAAGTGGCTTTAGATGCCTGAGGAAGAGACCTGTCCGGTGGCGACAATCACGGGATCCTTCATGAGTTCCTTCGATAACGGACACTTAAACTCCTCCGGAACCGTCGAATCCTCCGTTCCACTGCCGCCGTCGGGACGGACTGGTGATTCCTTCATCCTCAATTCCTTGAGAGCGTGCAGCGTTTGCTGTGCTCTGTCTACATCCTCTAAATTGACACCGTCCTTGCCTACAATCGCCGTCACAAAGTTGTGCAGCTCTCGCTTCAATTCGGCGGTGTTCGCCGGCGCTGCTTGATCGCCGCTCTTCGCCATACGAAAATATGCAGATTACTGGTATTGAATGCGGTTAGGGTTTGGCATTAGTTATGTTGAGGAGAGAGAAAATTGAGGGGACCGTGTGGCTACAGAGGTTTATGGGAGGAAAGGCAGCCATGGCAGGACAGCTGGCAGAGGGGGAAAAAAAAAAGAAAAGGGAAGAGATACAGTATACAACACTGAAAGTTAATACTCTCGTGTATTTATTTCACGGAAAAAAATAAGAATTGTCCAATTGAAACAAAAATTAAAAAGTTGTTTCTAAAATGTGAAAAATTCATCCATTATCATAAATAATTTTGAACATATTATCAGAAAATGAGAAAGAAAACAAATAAAAAATACAGAGATTTTACGTTGTTCGGTGACGGTGTGTCAACCTACGTTCACGGGCAGGAACTGGAGATATTTTATTATACTGATTCAGAGATTTACAATATGTCATCTGACTAAAAACCATAGTTGTCTATTTATAAGCACCCCAAAATACCCTAAACCCTAAGCCCATTTGTTATTAATTAGGATAAGCCCAAAATGAACCCTGCCAATTGAAACAGCCCTTTTGCTTTGGTTTAGGATCGGATAGACCGCTAAATCCAAGTCACGTTTCAACAATCTCCACCTTGACTTGGAGTTTCTTCAACCGCCAAAGGTTCGTCAGTATCTCTCAGTCGTCTCCTTCCTACCAGATGCCCCGAGAAGGCTTTACCTCCTACGAATATTCACCAAGTTCAAGCAGTGCTCAAACTTCTCCGTCGGTAGCGCCTTTGTCAACATATCAGCTGGATTGTGTTATGTAGCTATTTTCTGAATAGAAAACTTGTCTTCCTCCAGAACATCACGGATAAAATTCAACCTTACATCAATATGTTTGGTTCTCTCATGATACACTGGATTTTTAGCCAAGCTCAAAGCACTTTGACTATCAACACCGGTTTCTCCACCTTCAGACCCAAACTCTGCACCAGACCATGTAACCAGATACCCTCCTTAATACCTTCAGTCATTGCCATGTATTCCGCCTCAGTCGTCGACAGTGCAACCGTAGGTTGTAAAGTAGACTTCCAACTGACTGCACATCTAAACAGAGTGAAGATAAAACAAGTTAGTGATCTTCGTTTCACCAAGTCACCCCCGTAATCAGAGTCTGCATAGCCAACAAGACCATCACCATGGTCTTTATCATCATATACCAGACAAATATCAGACGCTCCTTTCAAATATCGCAAGATCCACCTTACAGCTCCCCAGTGAGCTTTACCCGGATTAGCCATAAACCTGCTCACCACACTAACCACATAAGCGAGATCCGGTCTCGTACATACCATCGCATACATAAGACTTCCAACTGCACTTGAATATGGAACCGTCTTCATGTAATTAACCTCTTAATCCGTAGCCGGTATAGTGCTTCGATCAAGTTTAAAATGTGCCGCCAAAGAGGTACTTACCGGTTTGGACTGATCAACAGAGAATGCCTGCAAAACTTTCTCAATATACTTTTCTTGAGAAACCCACAACCGTCTTGCTTCTCTATCGCGCCAGATCTCCATATCAAGTATTTTCTTTGCCGCACCCAAATCCTTCATCTCAAACTCACCATTTAGTAGAGCCTTCAAGTCATTAATTACAGCCATGTTCTTAGCTGCAATTAACATATCATCCACATACAACAGCAGATACACAAAGGAATCAGTAGAAACTTTCTTCGAGTAAACACAGTTATCAAACTGATTACAAGTATAACCATTAGACACCATGAATGAGTCAAATCTCTTGTACCATTGCCTCGGAGACTGCTTCAAGCCATACAGAGATTTCTTTAACAAGCATACCTGGTCCCCTTTAGAACTGTAGAACCCCTCCGGTTGAGACATGTAAATCTGTTCTTCTAGATTATCATGAAGGAATGCTGTTTTTACATCAAGCTGCTCCAGCTCCAAATCAAAAGCACCCACCATTGCCAAAAGAACCCGATTTTGTGTTTCACCACAGGAGAAAAGACTTCATGGTAATCGATTCCTTCCTTCTGTGAAAACCCTTTTGCCACAAGTCTCGTCTTGAACTTAGCAGGTTCAACACCAGAAATTCCCTCATTTCTTTTAAAGACCTACTTGCATCCCACTGGCTTCACTCCTTTTGGTAGTGCAACAAGATCCCAAGTCTTGTTCTTTTCAAGAGACTGCATCTCTTCATTCATTGCCATAATCCAGGTTTCTGCATCTTTACTCGCCACAGCTTCTTTATATGTCTTTGGCTCATCAGAGCCAAGATCATCACCAACCGCTAGTGCATAAGCAACAGAATCCATGTCACACGTATTGACACATCCTGCAAACCTAGCTGGTTTCTGAATATTTCTTTTTCCCTTTCTTGCTGCTATGGAATCTTCAACCCCAGTACCAGCGTCATCAGCTTCCCCCTCAACCGGTTTCCCTTGAGGTTTTGACTGATCTGGTTGATCGGATTAATCAATAGTATTATCCTGCTACTTTTCCTCTAACACAACTCTATCAGGAGTCTCAAACTCCACCCTCTGGTTAGCACCACAATCTTTTGTACCTGCAATACTTTTACAACCTTTACTCTGATCAAGCATAGCAGATTCATCAAAGGTTACATCTCCGCTAATAAGAAATTTACCAGGATTTTTACCTTCTGTACACCACAGTCGATAACCTTTTACTCCTGTTGCATACCCTAGAAATATGCATTTTACCGCCCTCGGCTCCAGCTTACCATCATTCACATGAGCGTATGCAGGGCATCCAAATATTCTTATATTAGAGTAATCAGAGGGTTTACCGGACCATACCTTTTGAGGAGTCTTTAAGTCAATTGCAGTTGATGGAGATCTATTAACCAGATAGCTAGCAGTGTTTACTGCTTCAGCCCAGAATTACTTAGATAAGCTAGCAAATATGCGCATACACCTAGCACGCGCCATGAGGGTTTGATTCATTCGCTCTGCAACTCTATTTTGCTGTGGTGTGTGTCGTATAGTGCGGTACCTCACTATACCTTCTTTCTTGCAGAAATCATCAAATGGAGCGTTGCAGAACTCCAACCCATTATCAGTTCTTAGAGTCTTGACCTGTTTACCCGTCCGTTTTTCAACCATGGTCTTCCACTCCTTGAACTTCCCAAACACCTCATCTTTAGTCTTTAGAAAGTACAACCAGACTTTTCTCGAATAATCATCTATGAAAGTGACAAAGTAAGAACACCCGCCCTGCGATTTCACCGGAGAGGGACCCCATAGATCTGAATGAACATACTCCAGAATTTCTTTTGAGGTGTGATGACCGATACTAAACCTCACCTTGCGTTGCTTCCCTTTGACACAAGCCTCACAGAATTGAATTTTACCTATCACATCCCCACCAAATAAACCCTGCTTCCTCAACACAGACAACCCTAGCTCACTCATGTGACCTAATCGCCGGTGCCACAAATTTGTCCTGTCATCATGTTTATCCAAGGACTGGGATACCGCCGCCATTCCCATCACTGAACTGCCCTGTAGAAAATAAATTCTATGCTGCAGTTTTCCCTTCATCATTACCAGAGCACCTTTCAGGACTTTCACCCACTCATCTTCACCATGATATTTTAAACCATTTTTGGCTAAGGTACCAAGAGAAATCAAATTCTTTCTGAGTTCAGGAACATACCAACAGTCAAATTTCCTGACAGTACTGTCATGCAATTTTATCTGCACTATCCCGCTCCCTTTTATGGCTAGAACCTCATCATCACCTAACTTCACCGTTCCATTCCACTCCTTAAAAGAAGTAAGTAGATCACGAGAGAACGTCATATGGTGAGAAGCACCGGCATCCATAATCCAGGAATCAGCAGTACTAGCACTACACGCTGTCAGAACTTCACCAAAGTCCCCATCATCAGAACTGTCTTGTACCACATCAGCACTGCTGCCATTGTTACTAGAATCAACTTTTGTATTTCCCTTCTTTTGTGGACAATCCCTTTTAACGTGCTCTTTCTCCTTGCAAAGATAACACTTAACTTTGCTAGAGGATTTTGATTTTGAACGCGACCTCCCATTCCCGTTACCCCTCTCCTGTCGTCTTCCCCTACCTGCAAACAGACCTGAACCAGAACCCTCTTCCAGAGAAACCTTTCTTTTCAATTCTTTGGACATAAGGGCATCTTTCACATCATTAACAGAAATTGTAGTTCTACCGTATAGCATAGTATCTACAAAATTCTCATATGAACCAGGTAGTGAACACAGTAAAATTAGGGCTTGATCTTCATCATCTACTTTAACCTCAACTCCTTGAAGATCAAGAATGATACGGTTAAAGGTATCAAGATGATCCTTTACCTGAGTACTTTCGGACATCCGGAGGGTGTAAAGACGTTGCTTCTGATATAGCCTGTTCGTGAGAGAGTTGTTTTGGTACTTCTCACACAGTTTATTCCATAACCCAAAAGCCGTTGTCTCATCTACAACCTCCCGTAACACCTCATCAGTAACTGACAGCAAGATCGCGGAATGAGCCCTTGCCAAAATCTCCTTAGTTACCTCCTCTTTCGTGTCTTTAGAAAACTTGTATTCTCCCTCCAACGCAGCCGCACATCCTTGTTGAACCAGAAGTGCCCTCATTTTGACCTTCCAGAGCATGAAGTCATTCGACCCATTAAACTTCTCCAGATCAAACTTATACGAGGACATCTTCAATCAATGAGATATGGCTCTGATACCACTTGTTATGAGAAAACGAGAAAGAAAACAAATGAAAAAACACAGAGGTTTTATGTGGTTCGGTGACGGTGTGTCAACCTACGTCCACGGGCAGGAACCGGAGAGATTTTATTATACTGATTCAGAGATTTACAATATGTCATCTGACTAAAAACCATAGTTGTCTATTTATAAGTACCCCAAAACACCCTAAGCCCATTTGTTATTAATTAGGATAAGCCCAAAAGAAACTCTGCCAATTGAAACAGCCCTTTCGCTTTGGTTTAGGATCGGGTAGACCGCTAAATCCAAGTCACGTTTCAACAGAACAAAATTGAAAAATGTTATTCCGAAGTAGACGTGATTGAACCAAACACCAACCATAGTGTTCATCAAGTTAATATAAACAAATA